TATATATATATATATATATATATATAATCTGTGCACTCACTTTCCACAGATATGACCCCGCGAAAACGTAAACTTCTTTTTATATCGTACATCAAATACAGAAGAACATTTCTTTATACGACTATCGTATCTTCGTAATCGATCGATCATCTCATTCGACGACGGCACGTTTCTTTTTTCCTCTCGAGTCAATTATATTCAAAAACGTAACGCGACAATTTAATCATGTCATCTTTCCAAACTCTTTCTCTCTCTCTCTCTCTCTCTCCCGCAGCGGTATCAACGCTCACGTGATTAACTCTGTTGCCATTCTTAAATTACATGTTCACGTATATTCGATATTATTTAATATTGGAAATGCTTAATAAACGTCTTTTCGAATTCACAGAGACGAAAAGTTTATGCCGTTACAACTAAAGAATAGGAAGTGCGTATAAATAATGTGTTAACTTCCTATATAAGTTCTCTCTTCCTTCGATACAGCACGAAAAATCAGATTTTTTTCTGTTTCTTTTAATCTATTTTAACTGCTAGTTCGATTATATAAGCACGTGATCTCGTAGTTAAACGAATTCCATCATCATGTGACATCGCGCGCTCTCTCTCTCTCTTTCTCAGAAAACAAGAAAGCAGCGTTAGTCTTTGCCCTTGTCGACGAGATTTATACTCAAAAACGTTTAATCGAGGAAAGATGGTTTCTCCACAAATGGAAGAACAAGTGTGTTCACCTTCACCTATATTTCACGTTCACTCGTTTTGCTGATTCACTTCTTCCTTATTGTTATCACTGTCTTGCTGGTTCACATTAGACTTGTTGGCTCCGGGTTGTGCTCCAGAAGGGCCGTCATTCATCTTGTCGTTGTGACTGTCGGCTTTGTCGTTTGAATCCATCTTGACGTTTCCTAGAGAGAAGTACAGACAACTGTCATTTCTTTCATTAATGATAAATAAATAATAACGTTTATATAATAAGTTGTATACATTATATATGTGGGATGCATTTACATATACAGTAGGACCTCTCTCAAGTGAAACCTCTCTCGAGCGGACCTCCTTGTAATGAATTTTCTAACTTGTCTGATGAAAATCGCTTGCGCAATATACGATGCGCAATCGTCCGCTCCCGTATACCCGCATTACTTCGGCATTCGTGTCGTTGCCAGAGTCAAGTGGAACAGAACTTCCACTCGCTAAGCGACTTCTCTGTGATGAATTTTGGCACCGAAGCTTTCACTTTAGAGAAGTCTTACTGTATATAGCTTCGCTATGTATATCAGAGTATACTTTTTATCTACCTACCTTGCGGCGAGTAATATTGCTGTTGCATCTTCATGTTGCGTTGCTGTTGCTGTTGCTGATGTAAATTCGGCCTGTGACGGTTGATTTGAGCCTGCTGCTGCTGCTGCGTCGGCATGCAGGTGGGCTGCTGTTGCGTGGGATTATTTGGACCTGGCGCGAACGGTACCACCGGTCGCTGTATGGGAGGCGGATAACGCTGCTGTGATTGCTGAAGATTCGCACGAGGCGGCATACCCATCCCACGCACGTTCTGTTGCAAAACCTGCGGATACACGCGCAGTGATAAATTGCAAAATTGCACGATTTCCAGTCAGATGAAAACAGTTGAAACGTATCACGCTTTTTCCTTCATTATTCCATATAAAGTGAGTTCTTTTTTTGTCTCTAATAAAAAAAAGGACAATCTCGTCGCAATAGCGACAACGCATTTGTTGTACTTATGTTCGTGTACGACTTGACACGGATGTCATATTTCATTGAGAGTTTATCGCGTCACCTTAGAAAGAACTGTCGACGTTACGTACAGAATTTGTTCTCGGGAGGTTGCACATGCATACTATACAACAATAATAAGGAGATAATTTTAATGAATAAATGGTACATACGTAGTTATTGTAGCTGCTTACCAGAGCAGACTGACTAACGCCCTGATATTGAGGATACTTGTGATGCTGCGTGGGGCTCGGCTGTGGTTGCTGCGACGAGGATTGTTGTTTACAATTCCTCGACTTAGGTGACGGTATTTGAGGCGCTGAAACATGAGGTATCGAATGTAACGCGCGAAACAACTCATCGATCAAACGACTCTGTGATTGGTCGGCTGAACCGAGTTATTTCTCTCGACTATCTTCGAAACTAACTGACGTACAACACTTACTTGAACTAAAAACTGAAGCGAGCACATCCTGTTGATTGCCCGATGGGCTCTTCAATTGCCGGGGTTGCTCCTGCGGTTGATGCTTACTGAGAAACGTAGGCGCTGCATTCCCCGGCCCCGGTAAACCTCCAGTGGGATTGCGAAATTGTTGTGCCGCCGCCGCTATTTGCAGTCCTGAGCTCGACAGGAAACTGGGGCCGTAGTTCTGCAGACCGACCGGAGTCGCGCTGCCTGTCGCCAGACTTTGACTGTGCTGACCGAATCCTTGCAGGCCGTAATGTGTGCCGGTTTGCTGAGTGGCGCCGCCGGATTGGTAGAAACCTGTTTGCGAGCCCGGGAACACGTCTGGAAAGATCGCGACAGTCGAAGGGGAGCGGGTGTGTGAAACTGATCCATATGATTGTAAAGTGATCTTGCTTTAGGAAATATTCTTATTCCCTATATATTCTACTCTTTTATACTTTTGCGCTTTAAACTATCAGTTTATCCTTGATATCTTATTCCTAATTCTCTATATATAATTCCCCGTTTCTCTTATTACGTGTCTGAGCTCCTAATCTGCCGATTATGCGCATAACGTGTAAACTTGTAACGAGACATGTGAGATTTACCCGCAGATGTAGCACTGTAGTAACTATTGGCGGACGCCTGGACGTTTGGACCGGGTCTCTGCACCAACTGCGAATTGCCCATGTAACTGCCGCTCACACCAAGCACTTGATTCGGGTCGTACGGTATGTAAGTCAACTGAAGACAAGAAATCAACCTCTCGTTCGGTATGCTTCCAAACATACGATGGCAGAATTTATACTGTGAAGTATTCCAACATCGCACCTGATTTGGTTGAGGAGCCGATGGGGTCTGAAAATGTGGCGCTTTAGTTCCAATAGCTCCGATCGGTTGAGAAGAGGGCTTCACGCTGGCCGACATCAGAGAATTTGACGACGAACTGATGAGCACAGTGTTGGGATTGTTGCTGAGCTGTTGATTCTGTCCGAACGGAGGAGCAGCTGCTGCGGTCTGTTGGGAAAAACGGAAAGTTCAGGTTTCATTAGAACGATGCAATACACAAATATTAATTTCGTAAGTAATGTACGATAAATACCGATGTAAATAGAATAATTATTGTATACAAACAATAGATTATATATATATAATTAATAAACGACAGGACAAAAATTTACGTACAATGCGGTATTGTGACAAATTGCTCTGGTACATCTCCGGCGTGGGAGCATTCGGCGCGTGAGGCGGCGGCGGTGGCGGCTGCTGCAGGTACACGTTTTGCTGGCTGAACGAGCTCTGAAGAGAGGGGGCGTAGGGTGGATATTGCGTAAACGGCGACCTGCTCTGATCCAATTGGAAGGCTCCGTACAAACCGCCCGCTTGAGCCGGTAGCTGCCCTGAGCCTGTGTTGAACAACACAGCTGGTGGCGATGGTATGGCCGACATGCTGCCATATTGCGCCGCTTGCGAGCCGGGATACTGTGGGAATTCCTGGAAACAGGACAAAGCAGATCGTTCCTCTCAGTATTCTGCAATCTCGCGCGGATTTCGATATCGATAAAAGTATAAATGTGTCACGCACTTGATAATTAATGTGCGAAGGCTGGCCGGTAGAATTGAACGGGGGCGGACTTAGAGGACCTTGGAGGCTAACGGGCGGGTGACCGATGGGACTTTGACCGGCTCCGATGGGACTCGGCCCGGGCACGGTGGATCCCGGTTGCGTGCCACTGCTGCCCGAGGACTGTTGCTGCGGCTTCACCTGCGGGGGAACCAGCTGCGCATCAGGCAAAGAGTCAGCGTCTTCCCACAAGGGACATTGTATTTCAATATTTAATTACTATATATATAGACAGACAGACACACACACACACGCGCGCGCGCGCGCACGCACGCACGCACGCACGCACGCACACACATACACGCGCACAGAAATCATTGTCACAACAGTCATTTTTAACAAACGTTTATTTTGCACAAATAAAAATGTTCAAATCTGCCCAAATTAGGTGAGAGTACAGTTCTTCTCCATGTATATTTTCCCGTAGAAAATAAAACAAACGGTGGTAATTATAACGTAAAAGAATAAGTGGTCAGTAACGAAGATAAATAATTTCTCTAGACGAGAGCCCTGAAATGAAAAAAATAAAAACTAAAAAAATAAATTTTTTCTTACAGAAAAGCCAGTGATCGTCATGATCGGGGTTGGGTAAGTTAACTTTTCCTTCAAGTTAATGGATATTGCAATATTAACTTAGTTAAGTTAAAGGTTACTTAAACAATAACTAATAACCGGTTAAATGTTGAGTTAAAATTAAATTAACTTATTAAAGTTAAAAATTCAATATTCATTATGTAATTTCGAAAGAAATAAGTTATATATATATATATATACATAAAACACATAAGAAATACAAAGGAAATGTCAGTCAGTGTTTACGTGACGCAACATTTAGGGAATCGATCACAAAGTTCGTCAATTTACCCAACTCTGATACATAACGATAATACAGAGCAACAATGCAAACGAGAACAACGGAGAACATCGGCACTCGTGGGACGATTGCAACAATTTGTAACGGCATGCATGAAACGTGAAATAGTAAGTAATCGCGAAATAATTCTCTCTCACCTTGCACACGTTCGTGGACGTGGTGATTTCACTTTTCATATTGTTCTGATTATACTGTTGATGCGGGCTGTAACTGTCGTCGACGTCGCCGCTCTCGAACGCCTGGGGGAAGCTGGTCGCGCTGCTGACGACGCTGCCGTCCTCGTGCTCCACCACGGTCGGCATCGGCGGCGCGTTCTCCCAGACCTTCTTCACGGACGCGATCTTGAGATTGAGCTCCGCGGTGGAGGGCGATATCGTGCTCTGGCCGCCGGCCATGTGCATGGAGCGTGCCATGCCGAGGCTCTTGCTCTTGTCATCCGTGAGCTGCGAGAGATCGGAGTCGAACGTAAAGTCCAGCTTCATGTCGGCGTTGTCCTCGTTCTTGTTGAACGACAACGGCATCTGTATGGGCTCCTGATTCTTGTCCTTGATCAGGTCGTTCGGCTTGTTGGAGAAGGCGACAGAGAGCGCCTGCTGCTGCTGCTGATGCTGCTGCACCTGGCCGCCGTCCTCCTCGATTTCAGCGCGCTTCTCCGCCGCCCGTTGCTGCGTCTTGATGTGATTCGAGAACTTGGACTTGACCGCCAGATCCGCGGGTCCGCTGGTCTTGGTGGTCTTGGAGTAATTCGTGTTCTCGAAGATCAAGGTCTGTACGGGCGGCGAGGACACGTCCGACACGCTCTTCTCCGTCATGCTCTCCTTCTTGCCGCCGGTCTTCTCGCCGCTCGGCGAGTTCCTCTGGCTGCTGTGCCCGGAGTTGGCCTCGTTGCCCTCGTGGCTGTGGTCGTTCTGCGCTCGTTCCAGCCCGGACATCAGCTGGATGTCCGTGGGCACGGCCGAAGGCGAGCTCGAGCGCAACTGGCTGGTGAAGGGCTTGTCCCACGCGTTCACCGGCGGCGGCGGCGCCGGGCTGTTGGACGAGTCCTTGGCGTAGTTGCCGCCCGAGCTGTTCAGCTTGTTCATGTCGCTGGCGTCGGTCGAGCAGAGCTGCTGCTGCTGCTGCTTCACCAGCCGCTGGAAGCGCGGCGCGAGCCTCGGATTCCTCGAGTTCCTGTTGTCGTACTGCTTCTGCGGCATGTTCATCGGCTGCGGTATAGTCTGGCCGAGGAGAGGCGGTATGTTCTGCACCTGCTGCAACACCTGCTGCTGCGAGCCGTTCGTCTTGGACTTGGAGCGGTCGCGTTCCCGCTCCTTCTCCTTGTCCCGCTTGGCTGAGGGCTTCGCCTCCTCCTTCTGGCTGTGCCGGGACTCCTTCACGTTCTTCTTCGAGCGCACCTCCTGGAAGCCGTCCGAGTCCAGCTTGTCCTCCGAGAGGACGTTCGCTGCGTCCTCGGTGCAGTTGTTCGTCTCGGCTTCCGGGTCGATCAGCTTCTTGTCCTTCGTCTGAGACTTCTTGCTGAGGTCGTTCAGCGCCTGGTTCACCAGGTTCGGATCGGCCAGCTTGATCTCGTCGATACGGTTGACCATGCTGTCCTTGTTGCTCGGCTTGTTGCTCGAGATCGTGCCGTTGTTCGTCGATGACTGGCTCCTCGACCTGCCACCGCCGCCGCCGCCGTTCTGCACCTGCGCGTTCTGCATCAGAGGCGGTATGCCGTCGGTGTGGTTCTTCTGGCCGGTGAACCCGGCGTTCTGCAGGTTCCGCTTCTCCGCGCCGGGTGCCCGCGACGCCGGGTTGGAAGACTTGCTGCTCTTTTCCCGCTGCTCCCGGTTGTTCGCCGACTGCTCGCTCCTGCGTGAGTGCGCGTTCGCGCCGATCGCGTTCTGGCTGGCACCCTGGATGGGTCGTCCGCCGAAGTGCGACTTGTTGCGACTGTTGCGCGACTCCTTGTGCTCCTCCACGTGCTCCTCGCTGTTCTCCGACGTGGTCTCCCAGTCCTCGTTGCCCACGTCCGACTGCGGCTGCTTCGATACGTTGCCGCTACTGCCGCGCAAACGGCTGTCTCGCCCCTGAAATGCAGAAACAATCTCGATAGAGGCGGTACGTCATATATCTATGCGATAAGTTGCGAGCCTCCATTTGTGAAATTTTGAAGCATCAATCGGGGATCGCGTAAATTTAGAAATTAAGGAAGAAAGTGCAGATGTCTTCGCGATATTTGTTTTCAGTCATGTCAGCGATTTTTCAAAAGTTCAAGAAAGAATCGAGGTCGAGAATCTTGCATTCACGTCCATCTCGAATATTAAGGTAGTCGGTAAATAAGTTTTCTCAGGGATCTTGTCTAACTTTAACAAACTGTATTAATCATGATTTACACGCATGTAAATTTAGAAAAAATCGACCATACCGAAACTGAGATAATTTAAGTCAAAGTTAGCACTATTTATCAGATGCCCATGGACGGTCTCAGCCGAAAGTATTAGGTATATAAATTAATTCGGTGCCTATGCATTTAACGTCCTGTAACTCTGCTTCAAATTTAAATATTTTTTTTCTGTCCTACGGTGACTTGAAAGTACCAACCTTAAGCTTTAAGAATTAGTTCAAAGTTTATTTACAAAAAGTCAAGTTTCACATTAAACTTGTACTTGACCTTAAAAAAAAAAAAAAAAATAAAATAAAATAAAAATAAAAATAAAATAAATAAAAAAAAAATCGAGCTCCCGACTTTCCGCTACGAGATCAGCGCGATACGCACCCTTCTGCTTCCGCTGCGAGTCCTCTTGGAGCGGGACTCCTCCTTGCGCATCTGCGCCTTCTGCGACGGCATGCTGGCGGCCTGGTTTACCTCCTGCTTGCCGGGCTGCTGAGCCTGCTGACTCGGCGACTTGTTGCGCCTGCCGGTGATGCCGGCAGTGAGAGCCTGCTGCTTGGCGATAATCTTGTCGTCGGTCGACTCGTTCGAAGCGGACTGCATGCTGAGGCTGGCCTCCTTTTCCGAGGTAGGCGTCGTAGGCGGGTTCTGCCGGCCGGCGTTCTGCTTCTCATCAGCGTTGCGTTCCGACGAGAAGGGGCTCTTGCTGGGCGGCGGGCCGTAGCCCTCCATGCGGCCGGCGGTCGCCGTGTTGCGAATGCGGAAGCCGCCCCCCCGGCCACGGCGGGACGGCTCGCCCGATGGCGCGAACGCCTCGTGGCTCGGCTTGCCGTCGTACGCCCTCTTCTCGCTGCGCGACTGCGACGAGTAGTCGCCGCGCTTCTCGTCGCGCCTCGACAGATCGCGGTTGCGGTCCTCCTTCTCGAGTTTTTGCGACGGCTTCGGCGAACGAGCCGAGCGCTTGTCCTCTTTACCGGACTCGGTGGAGCCGGACACTTCGTCGGCGCTGTTCTCCGAGTCGGTGTGCCCGTAGGAGCCGCTCTTGCTCGACAGGCCGGACTTGCCGGCGGGTCGCGGACCGCTTCTGCGTCCTCTGGTCTCCGGGCCGCGCCAGCCGCGAGTGTAGACGCTGAACGCCCCCCACTGGCGTCCGCGGGCGTCCCGCACCCGGGAGCTGGAACTGCCGCTGCTCGTACGGTTGCGCGTGTTCTTCTCGCGCTTCTCGTCCTTGAGCTGCTCCTTGGCGTCCTCGGCGCCGACGGCTTCTTCCCGCTTCTCCAACAACGCCGGCTTCTCCAGGGTACTGCTCTGCAGCTTCATCATCTCGTCGGCCTCCTTGCCGTCCTTGCCGGCTGCCTCCGCTATCTTCTCCTCCTCCTTCTCGAACGTCGGCGATATTGCATCTGCCCATGCCTTCGGCGAGTTGTCGCCCCGCTCGATCGGCCTGCTCTCCGAGGAGCGCTCGGCCTTCCTGATCCACGCGTCCGTTTCCTTCTTCGTCTCAGTGCTCTCCTTCGGCTGGTCCTTCTTCTCCTGATCGGAGCTGCCCCTCTTCAGTTGCGTGAGGTTGCGCTTCTCGCTCTTCAGCTCGTCCGCCTCGATCTTCTCCTTCGTGACCGGGCCGGGCGGCTGCCTCCTGTCTCGGTCGCGCTCCCTCTCTCGAGCCTCCTCGTGGTAGAGGTCCCGTTTCTTCTCTTCGTAGTCCGACACCTCGCTCACCCAGGAATTGCAGTCGCGCAGCTTGTGCAGCTCGTCGTCGCGCAGGGACGCCTTCGACTCGCGGGAGGTGCGACTGTCGCGCGAGTCCGGTCTCTGCGGGCGTTCACTGCGCTCTTCCTTCGGCACGTCCCGACGACCGACCTCGAGCTGCCGGTCCTGCCCCAGGTTACGCTCGTCGCGCCACTCCGAGCTCTCGGGGCGCTCCCTCTGCTCGCGCTCTCGTTCGTCGAAAGAATCCTGTGAAGCGAAGATAGATTTCTCTTTTTTTTTCTTCTTTTTCGAATCCAAATACAAATGTTAAGCGAAGGCAGGCCCGGGCCGATGTGCGAGCGATCAAATATTTCGTGCCTCAAGGCTCCTGGACACTCGCTATGGCTGGTCCTTCCTTGATGACGTCAGAAGCGAGGAAAATCGTGCTAATTTATGCGATGACGGTGTGGGAATTTTGAGCGTCTTCTCGCTTTTGACGTCATCAAGCAAGATGTATGCAGGGATCGGGAATTATAAAAAAGAAAGAAAAACGATGTCTTAAAAGTTTTCATTACCTTTGAGTAATTGTCGTAGTCCTTCTTCTCTTTGCTGTCCCTGTCGCGCATATCTCTCACGTCCCGAGCGTCACGGCCGCTGGTGGGACGAGAGTCTTTGACGTCGCGACTATCTCGGTTGTCCCGGTTATCTCGGTTGTCTCGATTGTCTCGGTTATCCCGATTATCCCGATTATCTCGGTTATCCCTCGAATCCAGATTCTCCTTAGAATCGCGCTCCTTATCGTCGAAGTGTCTTTCGCGCTCCCACGAATCGCGAGGATGCCTGTCGTCGTACTCATAATCTCGGAAATTACGGCTGTACTCGTCGTAATAACCGCCCGGCTTGCGACTGTCGTACGGCCGGTGCGAAGAATGCCGGTAACGGTCCTCCCTGGGCGGCGGCGCACCGCGATGATCGCGAGACGGAGGTCGTTCGTCGTCCATCGGCGCCGACGCGTCCGAGTCGGTTCTGCTGCGACGTTGCGGTGCCATGGATGGCTTCATACCATTATCTACTAATGCAAGTTTCATTGAATACGTGATGCAGGGACTTTCGGCATATCGTTCGTGTGCAGAAAAAGATGTCACTTAAATGCATTTAAACAGAATCTACGCGGTGCACAAATAACGAATCCAATAAAATAGATGAAATAGATAAAGTACTGCCGTCCGGAATTGCTAATAAAAAATTATACATTTTATCGAATATAAAATTATACACGGCTCTGTTGATGTATACGATCAAAATTAGTCAAATTGATAAATCAATTTTCAAATGAAACATTTATCGACAGATTTTAATATTGCCCTTTATAATTTCATGACAATGGCTGCGTTCAGTAGAGTAAGCAGCTTTGCAACTATTGTAAAATTTGTGAATCTGATTGGCGTGTGCTCTTAGATTCAACCAAGATTAAGAGCACCAATTAGATTCACGAACAACAGCTTTGCAAAGTAGCCAAGAACCTGCAGAAGCCTCTTATTTGCCGTTCTTATAAGCCAACATTTCTAATCAAACTCCAATATCATAACTGCGCAAGACTCGTAAAATTTACTAAATCGGTTGTGCATTGATCAATAATTATTTGAGAAGATGAGAAAATCTAGTGCGATTGAGAGAAGCTGGAGTTGCATGTAAAAACTTACTCAAGGAGTTGTAGGTGTTATGGAGCCACCTGCTAGGATCGTACTGCTGAGAGAACGGAACGGACTGAGATGCGGATCTCTCGGCGCTCGGTGAGATCCGGTTGAAGTTCACGTTGCTGCGCTCCAGCTGCTGTTTTTGAAACCTGGGCGGCAGGTTGTTCTGAAAGTGTCGGGAGAAGGCCGGCTGCTCGCGATCCCTCGAGTCTCTCTGGTCGCGATCGCGCTCTCGCTCGCGCTCGCTGCGCACGGCGTCCTGTTGCCGCAGGAAATTCTGCCGGTCGTTCTGACGGAAGTCCGCCAGTCCCTGATCCCGGGCGTCGCGCAGATTGTCGCGTGAGTCGCGCCCGACGGGCTTCTCATCCTTGCCCTCGGACGAGGTGCGAGATCGCTCCCGGTCGCGCTCCCTGTTCTCGCGCTCTCTGTTCTCCTTCTCCCGTTCCCATTCGGGTATGGGGAGGGGCACAGGGGGAACGGTGATCAGGCTCTTGGGCTCGCCGGACTGCGCGCGTTCCTCGTCCTTGTGCTTCGCCTGCTTCTCCTTCAGCTTCTGCTCCAGATCCTGCAGCTTCTTGGCTGCTGCCTGCTTGGTCGACTCCTGGAAACGCTTCTCCTCTTCCTCCTTGCGTTGTCGTGCACGCTCGACGACGGACGCGACTTCGACCTTGAGTCTACGTCTCTCGTTCCACGTTTCGTCGTCCTCGACACCTATTGCGGTAATTTTGCGATATATCAGATACGAGCACCTTACGTATATCTAATTGAGGTTTCCGTGCCGTAGCCATTTTGATTAAGTCAGAAGCAAGGAAACGTAAGTTGGCCAAAGTTCTTAAGTGTAGTCTACAATGGACAGTAGGGGGATGTTTATAAGAAGTGTAAGAAATTGACCAATCATAGTCGATCATTCGCCTTACATTCAAATATGATTGGTCAATTTCTTATTCTTACTTCTCACCAACATACTCTTACCGCCTGTTGTAAACCATGCTTTACGCGTTGAGATTAAAGTATACGTCCATAAAATGATACTCTTGCGATCGATTGAGCATATTTGTAAAGTATTTCGCCAACATTCTGTTTATTTTCTCAATCAATAGTAGCCGCGTAAAATTAACGAAATCGTGAGAAAAGAGAATAAGAAAGAAAGTTGCATGTCATGTTAATTTGTATGATTGCTTATCAATCGTTAGAACAAAAGGAAAGTTTTCGGGATATTTTGCAAACGTGCTCTCAGTCGCAGGTGTCATTTTACAAGTATATTGTTTTAGACTTCAGAAGCCTACAACGTCCGAAACCGTAGCAACCATGTAAACAAAACTTTCGTTCAACGCTGTACACAATTATTTATAACTCCAGTAATATTTAGAGTAATAAATATACAGAAGTTACTATATATATATAGTTAAAATATAAATATTTGTATAAAACTTCAGAATTATATGTTTCAGATTTTCAAGATAAATTTCCAAAAATCACTTGCAAAACGATGTTTTAAATGAGAATATTCCCCTAACACTTAGGCTGTCACGTTACTCACGTATGTGAGTGATGGTTTTAATAATTGAAATAAGAGCTTTACGCTCAGAACTAACTAAGTCTAAGTGGTAAATGGAGCGCATTGTTCTTAGTTATTTCGTAAAAATGCACTAACCTCGCAGGGAGTGCACAGAATGCAACTGCGACTGGGCGGCGTAGCCACCGCCGCCACTCGCGCCATTCGATCCACGGTAATCGCGTGTCATAGAAGGCTGAGTCCAAGAGCGATGCGGCGGAGGTTCGCGAAGCTCCTTCGAGTCACGGCTGTCTCTGGGTTTCTCCTTCTCCTCGACGGCATTGTCGTCGCTCTTCTTCTCCTTGGTATCTTTCTTCTCGTCGGTTTTCGGTGATTCTGGTTCGGTTTCATCGTCGCTAAAGGCCAATTTTTGGTTATAATCAATGTCATCGTGCGCGGCCCATCCTGCGTCACGTGAAATATCATCCATACGGGTAAGATCTTCCTCCTTGATGATGGGTCTAGTTATGATCTCTTCCTCGGCCACGCGCTCGCGCTGAGGAGGCGGGAATCGATCCAGGGGGTAATTGAATCTAGGTCTGGGACTGTTGGATCCAGAATTTGGTGGGAATTGCGGAGGGAATGCACCGGGAAAGCTTCCTCTGTACATCTGCAAAGCGTCAAGACGACCCTTTATATTATATTTACCGTCGGCCAACGGGTAAGAAAGGAACGATGCATGCTGGCGGACACGGAGTGCGTCTCGTCGAGGGGGAGGCGCATACTTACAAACGATGGGATGAGTCCCCGATAGTGGTGCATGTTTGGCCCAATTTGATGGGCACCGGGAGGAGGTACCGCGCTTTGATTATTCGCGACATTATGCTGGCCTGCCTGGCCCACGCCCATGTTGGGCGATTGGGCCAAGTTCTGCCGCCCTCCACCGGGTCCCTCCTGGGTATGCCCTCCTGGACCAGGTATGTTCAGTGGGAGGCCCTGGCCCGCCGGAGTATTCCCACTTCCGGGGCCAGCTGGTGGTGCTGGCGCCGCACCACTTGCCGTACGGCTTCCGCCTTGAATCCAGCTTCCCTCGGCTGTAAGTTCAGTTCATACAGGTTATTAAACATCAACCCTCGACCGCCGCGAAACCCGAAATGCGTCTTCGCGAATCATTAAGTTTCAGGGAAGCTTACTTTGTGGGCGCAAGCTTGGTCCTGGGCCATACTGCGCATTTAACTCCCGATTCAGCTGTTGCTGACCTCCCGGTGTGCCACCTACATAATATATTAATTGTATTACAGATACAAGTCTCTCTCTACCGATGATCAGCATACGTGGCCTACTTCAATATCTATAATACGAACATAGTAACATCGACTGACGGGAAAAGAATAGAAATACAGCAACGAGATAGGTGATGAAACAAGATACACGCATGCTCGCACGCGTTTGTTTCACAGGCTGTGCGTAAGAGACCTCTACGTACAGTCGGCCTCACGTGCCGTTCCCTGCATTCAAATTTTTTTACTATCACACGATTTGTCTTTTTTTTTTTCAACTGAATTGGCTGCACTAGTTCGAGAAACTTATGCACACCGAAGCGTGAGAATCTCGCACGCACGCTTTATATGCTTCAATGTGTACGTGCATTTTAGTGCAGCCAGTTCACCTGAAAGAACAGACCAACCGTTTAGACTTTCACACATGCACACGTAAGGTCGAAATTATTATGATTAGATCAGCCTTTAACAACTAGAGTTACTTCTGCGGTTTTCAACCTTGCGTTTCAATTTATGCGTTTCTATGTAAAGCCGAAAATCGTGTAACTCAGTCTAAGAAACGGAACGGCATATGTGACGTTGACTGTACGTACCAACATGCTTCTTACTCGGGGAAAGTAATCTGTGGACGCGGTAAAAACAATTGAATAGTAAAATAAAACACAGAGAATAAGGTGCTCGGACAATCGTAGTAAAATAAATCACTACCTAATCTATTGGCCTAAAAACAAATGTGAGGATAACAACTGCGCGCACGCGTGTGTATGTGTGTGTGTGTGTGTGTATGTACATTTCTAAACACTGACGAAGCGGAATAGTAATTTATAACAACTCTTCGCAAATTCGTTACGTAGAATACAAACAGAGAAACAATGTCGTGCATAAAATCTGCATACGCGTGAGAACTAAGATTTGTTAAGTAACAATAATAGACTATGTGCGAGTATCATTGTCAGATAAAACAAGATGAAATAAAATCTTGGGAAACTACAAGGTACCAAAGGTATCACATTAAGATCTAAGTCGTTCTAAGTCTAATCACATATATATTTCTAAAATTTCAACTTCATTTTTCATATTCAGTCTGTACATATTTCCCGAAAAATGACCTAGTCGCATAGCCGAGTTTCACGGGAGACCTTAATGACGGAGAAAAAAGAAGCGGGCAAGGATGTGAAGGATCGCTTTAGAATTCCATGTCCGGATGCTGTTATATAATTGAACTAGTTCCTCGCCGAGGAAACATTTAGGAACTTTTGCGACCGATCGGCCGTTTCCACGGGCAAAATGGCACATATTTTTTTTTTACAATGGTCTCACAGACTCTTGCGGCAGGAAGTTAAACGATAATATATGAATCAAGGCTGTTCCAAGGAGAAAGTTCGATTCGCGTGGTGGAGCCGCCGTGTGTGCATCGACGTCAGAGTTACGGCTAACCCAGATCAACGAAATCTTCCACGTTTGCGTCTACATTTCCGACTTATCCCAATTAGAATTACGATGCACTTCCGATTAGAAATCCGCGATCGGCCTACTATTTTATCCCTCTCCCGGCGTCTCTTATCATCGTCACTATGTGCGAATGAGTCACCTTTCGTAAAACATCCCACGTACGGATGAATAATCCATCGTCTTATATTTTCCATTTCATTTTACCGGGTCGGTCATTGTCGGCATTGCAATGTCGCGAGATTACACACGCGAATCGCGCGATTCTTCCATATCTGTGCTGCGGTGTCTTTTAGCCACTGAGAGAAAGAGAGAGAGAGAAAAAGAGACACACAATCGCACATCGTACGAACATTAATCAACATGGAAGATCTCAAACTTTCCTAGTGTCCTAATCCACCTAATCGGAATGCAATCTTTCAAGCCACCACAGGGAGAAGCACAAAGAGAGGCACTACTACTGAGCAAAGAGGTAAAAAGAAGATAAAGAAAAAAAAAAAGACAAAGAAAGAACAATTTGAGTCTAGCAGCAACAGGCAACAAAGCGGCACCCCACCTGAGTGGTTGTGGGCATACGGCTGTTGCTGTAGCAACGAATGATGGACCGCGACTGAGATTGCATTGGGTGTTGTTGAGGACTGTTGAGTCTGGCTCTGAGTGGAGACGGAGGCAGAGGGCTGTCCACTGAGACTGGGGAACTCGTGTTGGAACTGCGGGGACTGGTGGGCGAGGAAACTCAGTCCAAGGGCACCTCTTCCCCCTTTCGCGCCCCCCACGAGCCCCGCGTAACCAACCACTGCTGCCACAATGGGCGTACCTATCAATTAATTGCGCCACCCGCGGCCACACGCGCTCTGCTCATACTTGTTTTCACACTTCATACGCAACCCAAAGTCCAGAAATGGATGTCGAAAGGATACGACGCGCGATATCCGTGAATATACCGTGGGCAATTACTGTCGCGCGCTTTGCGACGGCTCGACCGACTTGATCTCTCGCTCTTGGATCTCGTTACCTTTGTCGATCCAACTCTGGACATCTCGGTCTAACCGAGAGGCTAAACCAAGTCGCATGACTTAGTTTGCGCTGCGACGTAAGTCTCGATGTGAGTTAATGTTTATATGCGACGTCGTCGTATTACATAAATCGGACCCGCATGTACGGGTTGTATCAAGCAACCTATGTGTGATGATGCCACCACTGCCCTGCACATTTTTTTTTCTTCCCATGTACATACGTGTGTTTGGAATATTAGTACGCGTTAATATTGTACATAGCTGATATAATATTGCGTATATGCTAATTGCAATCATCAATTATCGATTCGCTCGCAGTTGTAACGCTGCGCATCCTGATTCGCGAGACAAGGAGCATGTCCTTGAGAACATACACGCGTAAGACTAATTCTTCTTTTTGTTGTGCTGAAGCTCGTGGTCGTCGATAGCATATCGTTACGAATCCTTAGGCAACAGAATTTTGAAAAAATGTTCAGGACTCATCCAAGAGGCTCGAGAAACGCTCAATGTTCGAATTCTGCTGATCACATTATTCGCTTTGTGAAGATGCCCTTTCGAGGGATGATTCTTCATACATATATGGAAGCAATAATAACAACGTTACTTGTCAACTTTTTCATGTGATCGGTTCGATTTTACGATTTTTCGGTCGTAACGGTTTCATGTGATACGAAATAAAAGTACGAAGAATCATCCCTCAAAAGGACGACTTCATAAAACCAATAATGTGGTCCGCAAGAAAATTCAAACATCGGGCATTTTTTTGAGCCACTCGGACACATAAAACCTAAAATATATGTATGTTTCTGGCGACAATGAGTTGAAAAGTGAATCATTGAAACATCATGTGGACAAAGAGAAGATGAATGTCGATTCAGGAACTTTGACACTCCGTCTCAATTAGTGTTACGCGTTGTACGTTAGCAATGTTAATCCTAGAATATGTATTCTTCTACGTACCGTCTCCTGATCTGCTCATAATCGCGCTCCATGATGATTTGTTGTTTGTCTGATCCAGAAACGAAGGTTGTGGTGCATTTTGTTGACCCGGTAACAGCGAGTGTAGGGATGGTGAGACAGTGGTCCCTGCTGCGCATTGTGCTGTTGAAGAGACAGTCTGCGGCAGAGAAATGTTAGATTCAATAGTGGGCTCTTCTACATAGAATATAATCATAACGCACAATAGCACAAAGTGATAAAGGTAACATAATGTCATCCGCATAATATATATTGTATTGAACAATGACTTACAGTAGTGTTATCAAGTGGAGTTGCCGCTACTGTGGTAGTAGTAGTGGTCGACGATACTGAATCCTTAGTAGTAGCCCAACCACTTCCACCACTTGGCACAAGACTGACAGCTGGATCACTGCTACTATGTTCGCTCTTTAGACTGGGCAGATTAGCAGGAGGACGCCGTGCCGAAGGCACCTTTCCAAGACTTTGCATTCCATGTTTGCGCGGTAATGTATTTTTTTGCTGATGTGGCTCCAAAGATTCGCCCTGTGTTCAAAGGATGGTTGGAGATATTTAACCAAAGTGTACCATAGACAAAGGCTTTTCTCTGTCTTTACTATTTGTTAGGAACGTACAGTGGCAAGAATATTTTATTCGACTTCGGATGTAACATGACGTTTGATTGACACTTGACAAAATATTAAAGCACATGGAAAAGATAAAAAAAAAGATATACATTGCAATTTGCAAATTATATATCACGAAATTTTTGGTAAAATTCTATATATTGCAAATGTATAGTGAAATCAGAAATTGTTTACACTAGAAAATCGTTCCCATTCTTTTGTGTGATTAACCAAAACTTGAAGAATACTATGAATGGAAGTGTATCGAGAGAAAACTGATAAGAGAAAATAATAAAATTGACCAACTTACCCTACTCACCCGATACAAGCTATTGATATCTAGTGATTGAAACTTTGATTTTCCTTTCTCCCCCTTCGACACAATCCCTGACAGAGTAGACATGCTGTCTGCACGCAACCATTTAGTACCAATCAGACCCAAAGAACGAACCCTTTGTCTGAAAAGAATTATCTTCAGTTTTTCTAAAGACAAATATCTTTGTCTGTCTACTTTAAAAAGAAACAAAGGAAGAAAATATTATATCTGCAACAACTGAGTTACAATTGGAGAAAATTATAATAAAATAGATTAATTATATTAATGCACAATAATCAATACACCAATGAGATCTCAGGAGTTGTTCAAAGGACAATCTCTCTCTCTCCCTCTCGCTCTCAGTATTTATATTATAAACAATATATACCATATTATCAGGAATTAAACAGACGCGAGAGCCAATATTGTACTATATAGCCAACAGTATTTTTAGGAACGAGGCATCTTCAATATCGATGATCGTGCGAAAGCTAATGGGAACAGATGTAAGTATTTACACACCAATCTAACAAACAAAATATCTCATTGTCCCACGAGGACACGCGATCTCGAACGAAAAGGCAAGCCTGAGAAGCTGCAAAGGCGGAATAATCGCGGTTAAGTGAAAGCGCTCCATCTTAAATACTTTCTAAGTTTGCTTTATGCAGTCGAGCAATCACAATAATAACAATGCAAGGAAAGTGGCGATAACATCCCTGGTTTTGATCGGTCGTGGTTAAACGGGCCGAGTCGTTAATTGCGTATTACGAGCTATCAAGAGCGGGGCGAGCGAGAGACAACAGTCCGAGGGAAGCTTTTGTCTGTCACGCTGTCAGAGCGAGACGCACGACGCACGCAGGACGTGGTAACGGTGACGGTAAAAGTGACGGAAATAACTCGACTCATCACCTGGCAGAGGCCTCTTTCTCTGTCTCTCTTTCTCTCTTGAGTACACCCGCGATTCCGCGTGCACGACGACGACGACGAAGAAGCCGTGGCGCGGGAGTCACGTACGCCCAGCCCCGCGAACGCCGTCAAAAATCGCGTGAATTCAAAACAACAACTCGGCCGCCGTATGCAACAGCTAAATACGCATCAGGGCTGTCGGATTTCACGAATGGATTCGCGAGAAACGATCCTCCGTGCGCGCGAGGAAGAGGCTATTGCAGTCGGCGCGATAACGGTATATCCAATCTAAGAAAGCGTTATAGCGCGAGAGAGAGAGAAAGACTCACCGCGGGGGAAGGAAGAGGGGAGGGGAGGGAGGGGGAAAAAGTGTCGACGATCCAGCGAAGCATCCACGTAGGAAAAAGGACTCTCGCGTTCGCTCTGTAAACCCGGATCAACGAAATAAGGACTTACCTTGGTCCGTCCAAATGGGTTACCACTTCACAATAGGATTAACTTCCGGTAAAACAATGCGGCGCACGCGATCGTCGCGGATTACACTTCCGAGAATCGCACCGCGCCTACAGGACACAGAGAAACTTCTTTTCCACAATTCGTCCAAGATGGCGAATGCGCGACTTTCGGGCCCTTCCTCCGCGCGATCAATACAATTACGTCACGCTCACCAAGGAGACTCGTTCTCACAGACGCGCCACTCGTCGGCGGCTTTGTGTGCTCGCGCTCTCTCTCTCTCTCTCTCGGCAGCAGCGGCGTCACGACGCGCGCGCTGTTATTCTCGCCCCCGGGTTTTTTCCCCTTACGTGCCGCGACACTCTCGTGCACCTTTTTCACCAACGTGGCCCCGCCGCGTGCGTGCGTGTCCCGTCGTTCTCCGTTCGACCTTTACGAGATCGCAAGCAGCAATGCGATAACCACCGCGGAAAATCCCGGAATCCGTCGCTCCCTCCCGTCGAGCCTACTCGTCAGGCATGGCGCGGTAAAAAACCGAGTGGAACACACACGACACGCCGTACTGAATGATCCGACGCTGCTTTGGAAATTCCTTTTGGTCGTACCGACCGAGTCATACTCACTACTCCGACCGTTGTGATCCACGCCGTAACTCCGGAAGTTCTCGTCTACTGTCGAGGTGAGTCTCCTCGGCGATAACTAACGGATATCTTTTTCTGCGCGCGATCGAGCTAATTCTTTTCCGTTCTTCTTGGCGAATTTTTGATAAATCACGTCGGAAAATCTGCCAAAGACCGATGCACCGTGCACGCTCACTTGATTCTGGTGGTACCGTCGCGTGCGCACTCTAGTGGGAGGTCTGCTCACTGTTTGGGAACGGCCGTTTCATTGGTCGCTCGTTATCTTACGATATCTCAAGGAGCAGCCTCAATGAAAACAATGAAAAACGACTCTCTGGTCTTTCCTAGAAAACATCTTCGAAAAGTAAGCGCGAATTGCTTTCAGTTAGTTCCAAAGTCCCCACTATGAACCGCCATAGGCTACAACGAAGATCTGAAAACGCACGAATGAACGATGAATCACGCGGACCCTTTAAAGTGAGTTTGAGACCTTTTATCCCCCAATAGTGTTATCGTGACTTCACGGAAGTGGAGGGTACGATTCGGCAGTTGAAGCGGTTACGTTTGGACTTTCTGGGTCGTATACACGATATTTACGTGATATTTTGCGCACAAACTGCACAAAATGGTACATTAAACGTGCGACAACATTGTAGTCTGTTTAGTCATATATTTTACTTTAATGATGACGCAATGTTGTGTTTCAGAGCGTTACACTGCACACCGATCTTGGGGATATTAAAATAGAGTTATTTTGCGAAATGTGTCCGAAAACCTGTGAGGTATTACTCTAATTTCGCATAATTGTTTTAATCGCTTTATCAAAATTATTTACCCATCAACCTAATCTTAAAATCACCGGCATCAATACATAACCTACCGTAGTTCCACACAACAACGTGTATTCATTTTTTCAAAATCTCAATGAGACGTCTTCTGCAATAATTGCTTTCTTAGCAATTATGCTGCAATACTTCTGCAATTGACGACACATGCCACAATAGACATTCTTATTTCAGAATTTTCTCGCACTCTGCGCTAGCGGATACTACAACAATTGCATGTTCCATCGAAACATAAAAGGCTTCATTGTCCAAACTGGAGATCCCACTCAAACGGGAAAAGGAGGGACTTCCATATGGAATCGTAAATTTGAGGATGAGTTTAAAGAGGAGCTGAAGCATAACGCCAGAGGTCTAGTTTCCATGGCTAACAACGGTCCTAATACAAACAGCAGTCAATTTTTCATAACTTACGCACCACAATCACACCTGGATCTGAAGTATACCTTATTTGGAAAGTAAGTCTCTCTCGTTACGTTTACTATACATACAGCAAATAAAACCACAATTTCTGTATTGTCTTTTATTCATGTTACAGAGTCATCGATGGCTTGGAAACTTTGGAGCAGTTGGAGAAATTACCGGTTAATCCTAAGAATTACAAGCCACTCGCGGAAATTCGGATAAATAACGTAACTATACACGCCAACCCGTTAGCGGGATAAGCTTAAGTAACAGAATATTTTCTAACGTTCATCATTGTGATGTAAGTAATCACAATAATTCTTCTGTTGTGTAAAATACACGATGTGCAACATGACTAAAGCGCACGCAACTATTTTTCTCGCAGATCTCTTCGAATTGTAAGAAATAACGTCGATAAGTAACTTACATCACGTATATACCCTGTAATCTTTTGTTCTGCGGGTCAAAGGGGCTGTGAAGGTACATCTTGGCGGGATATTTTTTCCTCATTACCTCAATATGGTAAGTACCTGTTTCTAAGAACTCCTTTGTAATGTTTTGCCCGTTCGGAGCTGTGATGTATCTGAAGGAGAGAAACGTACAAGTGTACACAGTTATTCACATCTTCAACGCTTGTTATCCGTTATATGTACTTACGCCTGTCCAATATTGCTTTTAAAAGTGTACCCACGTTCGGCTCTTCTTAAGTAACCAACTAATTGATTATTCCTATAAACGCTTTCCATACCCCACAGTGGTATGTTGCTGTATCGGAATTACAAACGGAACATCAGTGATGTATTTTTTTATCGCCGTCTCGAGCGCATCGGTTGACGATTTACTTACTCATCTATGTGTAAATGCACCAGTCTTCTCTTGATACCGTTTTTGCGGTACTGCTCAACAGATACCTTTCCTAAATACTCTCCGTTACTGCGGCAAGTAAATCCTAAATCTGCCTCGATTGGATTGTCGGTCGGTCTCAAGTCCGCACTCCAGAGATGATACCCTGACGGACGAATTAATCGTTTTACCACAAATTAGTTAGGGTCCAAATGGTAAAATTTGCTGCAACTTACTGCAACTGCACCAAAGCGTGCGCATCTCAATCATACCTTTTTCGCAACTCAGACTGTACAGCGCCCTGAAGCCGGCCAGTTTCATGTCATACTTCTTGCCACACTCCACTAAGGCTCTGTAAACTTTCTCGCAGGAGCTTCGTGGTACGTGCAACTCGAAGCCGAGCTCACCGACGAAGCTGAGCCTGAACATGTGTACCAACTCGTCGTCTATCCGCGCCAGTTTCGACGTTGAGAATGGGAACGATTCGTTGGAAAGATCATCCTCGACCAACATTCGAAGAACTTGGCGGCTACGGTAACGAACGAGATGTGCGTGCATACTTTTGACGTTATTTAACTCAATATTATTACAAATTAATTCGATGCCTTTGCATTCAATGTCCTGCAACTCTGGTTCGAATTTAAATTTTCCTCCCGTCCTATGGTGATTTTGAAAGTGCCAATTTTAAGTTTTAAGATTGGCACTGTAATAGTTGACGGCCTTGCCGATATAACCTCGGAAAACAGTAATTATCACAATGTTGTTCGAAAAGAAACATCTCAAGCGCTGCATCCTTTTCGCACTCCGATCGAATAAAAATGCTGCTCAGTCGGCACCGTATCGAATTAATTTGTACATCTGATACCTTAGTATTAATTTTTTCTTGGAACAAAACTCGCGCGTCTGCGTTATCGAGACTTAAACTCGATACCTGTTAGGGCCCTGGACTGATAAAACTCCTATCTGCTCCGTGACGTCATGCAAAGATACACTGAAGCCTTTCTCCCTTATCACTTTGTTTATATGCGTCCGAGTATGATACGATGACATGCCTCCGCTCACTAAAACGAACAATAACAAACGTGAGATTCGAACAAAGCAAAGGTTGGTACGATTAAGGAGACTCGCGATGATACCGATGTAGAATCCCTTCCCCTTGAATATGGGGTCGACGATGCCACCCATGCCAGATTCCAGGCCGGTGACCGTGCAGTCTCCCTCCACACCTCCGCCGCGGTTCAACATGCAAGTGTATACGGTCCTGTTGATTTTCCGGTCCATTTGAGACGTAAATATGTAATTCGCCGCTTCGCTCGCATCTGGCCCACACAGATAGTACTTCCCGAAGTAGGACATGTTGAACAGGGCGACGTTATTTCTGCTCGAAAGTGCTTCCTCTCGTATCTGCCGTATACAAAATATGTTCATTTTACGCAACTTTTCACTAATATTGTAGATGGTGTTGCTAGATTCTAGTCTTTTTTAGTTCCTTCTTGAACCTTTTACTAATCTGACGGGCGGTATAGCTCACTTTACACTTAATTTCGGCCTTTCTTAGAGTCGTTTAACGATTTGTTAGAAAGAGCTGGACACTACAACCTATTTCCCACGTTCGAATTTTCACTGAGGAAGATCCAAAAAACGAGTAGAAACGTTTGAATTGTTTGAAATTAATAAGATATTAAAGAAATTTATCATGTTATTAACCGTATTTCGCTTTCATTTGCCTTTTTTCTCTTGTCTTTTATTAACAAAATCTTGGTAACATTAAAAAAAAAATGTATCGACTTAATATTCTTATCATCGAAAGATTCGTATATTCTTTGTAAGTTTCTTTCGCATATTTTCCTATCTCAGTTTAGGAACTGAAAACTTACGATATCATCGTGTGGCGGGAAGTCGAATGTACGTTCTGTCTTCAGTATATCGGCATACACGTGTTTCGTATTCTTCGGTGTATCGTAGTAACCGTCGTAATCGTACGGCAGAACTGCGGCTGTTTTGTTGTCCGGCAGGAACCATCCCGGACGTTCCCATCCTTGCCGTTCCTCCATGACGGCACCTTCTTTAACTAGCAACTACCGTTCGTGCGCAGAGGATGAATAATAATAAGATACCGCCAACATATAGAGAATATAAGAGTGATAAGAAAGGAAGGTTCACCTTGTGAAAAGGATCAGTCTTCAAGTTCCTACCGCTCAGGTGTTCGTCGTGCGGGAAGGCGATGTCGTAATTCCTCGCGTAAGCCTCGTGACTGCGCTCATTTATCCAGACGGGATCCTCCCTCTGTTCCGGTATATACCTGCACAAACAGAAGGAATGTTGGACATAAGAACATGGCAAGAAGTCAATTGTAATTTTACCGTCTGATGTCGTAGTTGAACATGTGCTTGTCCGGCCGCCCGTTGATTATCCACAAGGCTGCTTGTTCTCCGCAACCGCCGCCGAACATCATCCCGGCGCTGTTGTATCCGCAGGAGTAATAGAAGCCTGTGCAGCGTGGGTCTTCGCCTTTCAAATATCATGGTTGTGCATTTTAATGACGATGATGCGTCTACGTCGATCGATAAGTTAAAGTTGCCGTTAAATTTCCTACCCATGAGAGGTCGGTGGTCGGGGGTGAAGCTTTCCGGGCCGCACACCGTCGTTCTTATTCCAGAAGTCGCCAGAGCGGGTATGAGTTTGTTCATCGCTTCAACGTGGGTGTTGAACACGTCCCAATTGAGCTCGTACAAACTGAAGGAGAAGTCTTCCGGCGCCTTTGCAACATTCAGTAAACAAACGTTAGCGGCACACGCCAGCAGATCGATCAGGATACAATTTACAACGGGCGCTGCACGAAATTTGCAGACTTGGCTATCTGGTCACGTTTGAGTTAACGTCGGACACAGGATTAACTTTGCAAATATTTTCTCTCATGACGTCTTCGAGTTCGTTTTCGCGCTTATCGAATGTGCGTAATGCGTATGCATGACTTACAGATTTCAACACGATAGGGTTCGGTTCGTATCCTCCGATGCACATATTTCCGCCTTGTACGCGGAAGTAAATACTCTGGTCGGGGTCTCGGAGGTTCGGCAGTCCCCGCACGTTCATCGGCTCGGTGACGATGTACGCGTGTTTCATCGGTACCAGCGGGATATTCAGTCCCACCATTCGCGCTAAGTTACCAGACCACGCTCCCGCGGCATTCAAGATAATCTTGCTCTTAATAACGCCGTAAGGCGTCTCCACCCCGCAAACGCTCTTGTAGCCGTCGGTCTCTTCTGTGAGGATTTTCGTGACCGGGCAATCCTCGATGACCTTGAAGAATTGTTCAATCAGATCAGCTTGTCGCGAACGGTCAAAATTGCACTTCAGCTTCAGCCGATCGATGCAATCGATCTGTTGTCTCCCTATAAGCGCGCAATATTAAATAATATTAAATAATATTACGCGCTTACAAGGTTCTAGCGTCTTCGCAGTTGTATGCTATCAGTTATGCGTTATCAAAGACTTATCGACGTGATACTCGACTATAAATATTCCCCAAACGAATTAAATGACAAAAACGGTCAAACTGATCGTACTCCTTCTGTGCAGCGACGTGGAATGAGAAGATAATGGATGGGGATACCTTGCAACCGTTTCTCTGTGCGGACTTGGTCAAGGCGTTCACCATCATGACGGGGTCTATGGTGCCATCCGACGGACAGTATACCGCAGCCGCAAATGCCTTGTCGTCCACTAGGGGGAACTTCTTCTTCGCCTCGACCGGGTCGACCATGTACGCGTTGATCCCGAAACTCTTGCAACCAGTGACTAATCTCTCGTATTCAGCGACTCGTCCCTGCGGAAAATCGCAGGGAACGTTACCACTTTGTCCGTAAATCGAGCGAAGAACGAGGACACGCGTGCTCACCGGTGAATGAGCGATGTAGAGTCCACCGTTGTTTATCCATCCCGAGTTTACGCCGGTCTCCTCTTGCAACGAGGCGTATACGAATCGCGAGACCTTCAGCAACTCCATCTCCACGTCGCACACGCCCCGTAGACTCCACACGAGACCGGCCGTGTGCCATGTCGTGCCGGATATCAGCTTGGACTTGTCCAAGAGCACCGCGTTCACGCCGCGTTTGCCTAATTGGTACAACGCGTTGCAGCCAGCACTGCCACCACCTGTCGCAAAAGCGATCATTGTGTAAATCTGTTTTCATAAACATCGATATCGCACGAATAAATATAAGAATAATTGTCAGCACATGAATTTGTGAAAGTGTGAGTTACCTATTATCACAATATCCGCACTACTAGGCACTTCAATGTGCTTCGTCTCGTTCGCCTTGGACGCTTTCGCGGTGAACGCTCTGCCATTCTTGAAGCTCCACCTGGACAACTACGAGGAAAGTTGACAAATCAGTCCCCTTATGCGTTCGTTTTCTCGCAAAAGCGGAACCGTCTGGCCGGATAAATACACACCTTGTTCGTCGCTATGCGAAACATCTTGCCGTTTGTCTCGAGACTTCAACTTGTGTGCGACTGCGGTGTTGGGTCGCCGGGTCGAACTTTCCGGGAGAATCGCGCGCGATATCGCGTACTTTTTTGCCGCTAGTTGCGACTTGCCATTACAACTACACTAAGGCGCGTACATTATTAAGAAATTTGCATCGGCAAATTTTTTTAACCGGTCGCCTCTGCCGCGATATCAGTCGGCGTCCACGTGGGAGCCGCACTGCGGTAGCACTCGCTCAAGAAAAAGCGGCTCGAGGAACCGCGCGGAACAAAAAAAGACCACGAACGACGTCAATAGCGAAGCGACATCAACATTTCTCAACGATATTTACGTGAACGTATTGCCCAACACACATCACGAATGTGAAAGGAAGAAAAAAAGGAATACACAATATCTGGAGAGAGTGATTTAAACAGAATTATAGTAGTGTTGCTCAAGCACATGTTGGATCTCTCCGCCTTATCGGCATTATTTTTTGTCCGTTATCACTTGAGTGTGTTGCACTCTTGTTATGCTTTGTTACGCGCCGAAAATATCTCATTTTTCGTCACACGTTGGAGATAGCGCAGCCGATGATGCGGCTTCTTTTTCGTAGAGCTAGTATTCACCAGTCGGTGAATGAAAGAAATTATATCATGCAAGCGTCGCTAAATCGACGTGATACCGATCTTCTATCGAGAGATAAAACAGCAGGCCGAGAGAGATCGGTCGAAAGCCGGGGCAGAAAGCGCAGAGGTTGATACAAAAGAGAAATTCAAGATAAAATATTTTGCGTAAAATTACAAATCAATTCAGAAATTACGAAATGCTGACCGAGAGTGTGTCGCAATTCATTATCGTGAGACGAATGTATAAAAAGAAGCGACGGAGATAATATTGCGACACTTTGCATTTGCAGCGCGCGATCCGGCCGCCTTGAGGAAACTAATGGCGAATACTGAAAATTTTCGCGGCATTATCTTGGCGTGTACTTTGATACACAAGAACGTAAGTTAATCAAATTATTTTTTCTCCAAATATACAGAGTAAATATCTCNGGGGGGGGGGGGGGGGAATATGGAGATCTTAAAAGCAATCGAAAACAATTCGATGTGGCTTCCGAGTTGGCGTCGCGTCTTTCGAGGATTCGTATCTGAGGATATTTGTTCCGAATATGTGTTTGTCGGATACAAACTTTCGAAAGACGCGGTGTCAACTCGGAAGCAACGAATCGAATGTTTACTCACACTGCGAAAGCTTAAAATTTCACCATAAAAAAAATTCCCCTTCCACGGTATTCCTCCTTCGAAACTTAAAATCAAACGTGCTCTGAATACATTTCTCATTAAAAACGAAGGGGATATTTAGCGTTCTCCTTACGCTCGGCCACTCTGTACACGACAAAAGATGGGAAGCACGAACATATGAAATAAACTGAAATCCAAAAATCGATCCCTCATTTTGCTCACTGGAGGATCTCACCGATCAAGAGACAAATCCGTTTAACTTACTGGTTTATTCACTTCTCGTTATTACCGTCTACTATACAGTGTACACTGGTCACGTGCTACAAAAGCAGTACATATATTTAAGTATTATGCACAATGTGATGAGGATATTGCGTAAGAAAAATAGGAGGATTTTCTTTATGGAGAAATCCGTGAACACATCCGTAAAGAGAAGTCAACTAAATGCCACTTCAAACACAAATAACCCGTTTCGATTANGAGAGAGAGAGAGAGAGAGAGAGAGAGAGAGAGAGAGAGAGAGAGACGGTGACTTCAAAACAGAGCTCGGGGGACATCTCGCTTTGGTATGTCGAATACGCGCAACTCGCTCGGCTGTTTATTATTCGTTGGGCATCGATTTTTTTACGGCGGGTATCCGCGTCATACGGACCCTCGGGAGAAATTCAGGGTAAAATTCAGGGAAATTTAAATCCAGGAGAAAATGTCGAAGAATTAAAAAATTGCATACTCGCACCGCACCCCTGTGACGCCGATTATCCGTGCGCGTTGTTGCGTGCCGTGCGACGCGGTGATTGGTGCGTCACGGGTACCTTACGCGATACGAGTATGCCGATCTACACGTATGTCAGATCAGAACCTTTTGTTGCCTTCCTTTTGCTCCCGAGTTCCGCTTTAAAGCGACGTGTGCTCTTCGCTCGCTAAGCTATCTGTATCGTCGGTGTCCGAATTAGTTGCCGCTTGCACCCGAGCGTACTCGTCCGTGTCGATGCTTTTACAAAAGTGAATCGCGTACTTCAACTTTTGCCGTAGAATGGCCTTGCACGAGTATCTCGGCATTTTCAGAAGGAAAAAGCAGGTGTAGCTTTCGGGAAGAAAATGGTCCGGTGGGTTGTACTTTTCCATCACCTGGAAGCGAGAGAAAAAAAGAAGCCAATGAGAACGCAGAGTGGCTATGAGTGTCGCGTTTTATATTCTGCGAAAATACAGATAAGAGATGTGAGATCTGCGCCTCCTTACTTGTAAAACGAAGTCCCTGCCTCGGAAATCTGCGATTGTGCGCGGTAAACGTGTTCTGCCCCAAACAAAACGGAGGAAAAGCGATCGCTCTTGATTGGAGAACTCCTCCATGACGTCCCAGAACCATTGGATAAGCGGAGCGCTTGGCTCGATACCTGTAAGAATGATGCCTCGAATGTTACATTCTACACTGGATTGTGTGCGCACGCGCAAAGGAACTTCTATAGAAGAGAAAATTTGGATGACACGATATAAATGTTTAAGGGCGTACCTTTATACGTTGCAACGGACTTCAATAAATTAATTTGTATGTCTGGACTACCGCAAACCATTGTTTCAAGCTCGGGCCCGCTAAACAATGCCAAGAGGGGCACAGGAACAACTTTGGATAAACCTTCCCGTACGGCCGCTACTTGAGCGTCGAATTCGTGTAATCTATAATCTAACGCCAGCCTCACGTACTCCTGCCTGTTATCCGGCGTTATTTTGAGATATCTGCGAAAATTCACAACAAGCAACGTATTGAAGAATTCACTTCTCACGGTATACGCAATTGCACCGCAGTGAATGCATCGCTCGCGGTACCTGTTGGACAGTATCACGTCGTGTCCGGAGGCGGACGGTGTGGAGAACGGCATCTCCAACGTCTGAAAGACTTTCTCGTCCGGGTTCATGTCTCTGATGCAGAGCAAGCCAGGAACGTAGTCCCTGTCGATCTCCGTCAGATCCGACGGCGTCAGAGGCATACCGGCGAGTTGCTTCCAAACCGGCTCGGCTAGATTCAGGCTCAACGGGCTGCCCGTTCTGATGGCGATGCCCATCAGGATGCCCAGGAACTGGAACATCGTCATGTGCAGCTGCGACTCGGAGAACGAGTTTAGCAGGAAGCAGTCGCGATTGGTGCCGTTGTCGTCGCGGCCGTTCGGCGTAGGCATGAGCAACGGCAGCGAGCCGTTCTGCAATTCGTCGCACATCTCCGCTATGCTCTCGCTGTAGCCTCCGCCGCAGTCGTCGACGCTTTCCCCTGAAATCGCGATATTTTAGACTCCCGGCTATCTTCTATTTTGTTATCTATTTATTATTTATTTATTCACTTATTGTCTACTTATCGATTGTTAAGATAAAAGGAAAGTCTTCGGAATATTTTACAAACGTGTGCTCGATCGATCGCATCGCTTTGTCGACACATTCTTTTAATTTCCAACGAATTGTTCAACGAAAAAACAGGAATCTTAAGGCTCGGCTCCCGAACTATGCCGCTACTATGTCAACGCGGAGATCTCGGCTGGCTACTCCGGAGAGCGTTGAGCCATTTCGTCGGAACGTCTCGCCATTCGGAAGATCACGCGAATACGCACCGACGAATTTCACTTTCCACACTCTATGAGGTAGAAACAGCACGTCTTGCGTCAGGAGGGACATCTTGGATACCATCTGACCGAAGACCGATTTGATACCGTCCGGACCGGCGTAGCCGCCCTTTCCTCTCGCTCTCTTCACCTGTATCCTGTTCAGTTCGATCACGGGCCCGTGTTGGCGGTCCCTCACCATCGTGGCTTGCACGACTTTGCGGAAGGTCGCCTCTTTGATGGTGTAAACCAGCATAGGGCCGAGTTTGTCCAGGCCGATGTATCCGGTAGTCGGAAACATCGCCAAGGAGGGGCACAGGAGCTCGGCGAAGTGGTGCAGCAGTACCAGTCTGTTGCGCAGCACGGAGAACGGTATCTCCTTCACCAGGTCGTACTCCATAGGCGCGGACGCCGGCATTCTGCTCTGCGTGGCCTTCGCCGTGCTCCAGGCTAACGTATGCGCACTGCCGCACGCTACTCTCGTGATCTTCTTGCCCTGCAACGCGTGCACCAATCGTGGCCTCTGCAGGGCGCTTGTAGTGCCGTCGCCGAGCTGTCCCTCGTCATTGTCGCCCCAAGTGAAGACCTCACCCTTGTCGGAACAAGCGACGCAGTGCAACGAGCCCGTAGCGATCGAAATGATCTTCTTCCCTTGCAGCGCGGCCACCTTCCGTGGTCTTCGCACATGGTCGTCCGTGCCGTGACCCAGACGATGATAGTCTCCCTTGCCCCTGCGCGCATATAACCGAGCGAGAAAACGCGTAAATGATTAACTCGTCGGTTGAAAAAGAGAAAAACAAGCAACTCGCTTAGAAATGATGTGCGAGCAGGCTTGGATGAATTTATATTTATTTCCTAATCAAGTCAAGAATTGAAAGTTATCTAAAGAAAAACTAACTTGATCAAATGGAAATATATAAAACATAAAAGCTGGGTGTTGTTACTCACCAGGTGTAGACCGCTCCGGATCGTGTTAAGGCGACGGAGAACTGGCTGCCGCACTCGACTTTGATGACACCGAGTCCGGCCAACGAGTCGATCTTCAAGGGAATCTTGCAACCGTCGCTACCGCCCCTGCCTAACTTGCCGTAGTCACCGTCGCCCCAACTCCACACGTTATCGTCGTCGGTCACGCAGAGTGTCTGCGCGTCGCCGCTCCCGCAGGCCACGTCGATCACCTTGTAGTCCTGCAAAGCCTCCACCACCTTCGGTCGTAACTGGTCGTCGCTGTCGCCGTGACCGAGACGCCCGTACCGTCCTGCAATCGATTTTTTAAGCGTCTTCAAGGGTTCCATAATCGAGTTAAAAACCGTGAGAAGGATTAACTTGTTGGCTGAAAGAGACTAATAACTCATTAGAAATTATGTGTGATATGAGCAGGCTTGGAGCAAGTTAATTTTTATTTTCAACTAAGTTGAGAGTTGAAAATTACTTAAACAAAGACTAACTTAATTCAACGTTAAGTTAATGTCATGTTAAATTCACTTATTAAAGTTAATTACAAAACCATGTGTGCATGTATACATTTGCATAAATAACACTTTCGTCATAGTTTGAAGCCAAAGGCGCATCATGTTACATCAAAATCGTCCGAGTCGTCGAGAAAAGAAGCACTCGACCCTCCTTCCGGGCTTAATCGTACCTTTGCCCCAGGTGTACAACCAACCGGCGCTCGTGATGGCGGCGCTATGGTGACCACCGCAAGCTATGTCGACGATCTCGATGCCGAGCAAGTCCTCGATCAGTTTCGGCCGATCGTACGATAGTCTATTGCCGTGTCCCAGCTTGCCGTCGTCGCCCTCGCCCCACGAGTACACGTGACCCTCTGAGCTCAGGGCGAGGCAATGCTTGCCGCCCGAGTTCACAGCCACCTTCTTGATGAATACGTGTTGTATCGATTCTAATAACGTCGGGACCATGACGGAATCCGTTCCTCCAATCCCGAGGCGTCCTGCAGCACCGTAACCTGCAATAAAAAACGATCTATTATCTATTAAAATCTACTATCTATTAAAAAGATCTATCTGTGCATCTCTATTGGATCAACTGACGCATAGAAGTGACATAAATAAAAATAAGAAAGAATAATTTCTCTACCGGTCGAGTAAACCTTTCCATCGGCCGTTACCGCGAAAAGGGTCTGTTCACCCCCGGCCAGCTGAATCGGCCTGAGCGCCGATAGGCTCTCGCATGGTGCCGGTAGCTTGATCTTGGCGCCTTCCAAGCCGCCCAATTGACCCCTGTGGTTGTGGCCCCAGCCGTAAATCGCGCCCGATCCGTCCCACGACAGCGTCCAGTCCTCCGGTCTGCGATTCAGCCATTGCAGCAGTTGCTCGTCGTGGCCTTGCTTGAATATACCGTGATTCTCGTGGTCCTTGCCGCACTCCGCGTCCCCGTCCGTGGTCATCTCGTTGAGCTGCTTGGTCACCTCGTAGCAGAACGCTCTGGGCAGGGGAGTGCGGTTCACCAGGGACTTGGCGACGCGCGCCGCCAAGCAATACCTGCGGAACCAGGACCACTTGTGCACCTCGGCGCAGCACGGCATGGCGTCCAGCTCGAGGTCGCACGCCAGCGCCACGAGGACCTTGAAGAAGTCGCTGTGCATCAGCTGCTTGCCGCCCCGGACCAGCGGGTCCTCGTAAGCGTACTGCCTGAGGAGGGCCTGCGGCAACGAGCCGAGCAGAGAGGACAGGGCGACTTCGGGCTTGATCCCCGGCCCGTTGGTGTAGACCACCTGCAGCTTTTTCAGCGCCCACATCCTCTGCTGGGCGGACAGGGTGCTCAGCTGGCTGCACTGAGCGAGCGCGGTCGCCAGGCGGGAGGCGACGTTCCTGTCGGAATTGATCAGGCTGTTGTCCATCAGCAGGTGCTCCGCCACGGCTATGGTCGGTTGGGAGAGCACCGCTCGGTCGGAGCCGAGCTCGTACGGCGCGAGGGTCGTCAGCACCGGGTGCACCGTGAACCGCCAGCCCCAGCCGTTGACGGAGCCGTCCGAGGAGAAGCGCCACCTCAGCTCGTCCCCCTGGATCCTGATGTCGGAGGACCACTCGGTCCACTCGCGGCCGGATCGCACCGCCACCACCCGGCCGCTGCCGTCCATGATCGTGAGCGGGTCGTGCCGCTTCTCCGTCGAGCACTGCCTGTCGAACTCGACGCGCAGCGCCTCGGCGCCGGGGATCTTCACGCTGCCGGTCAACGTCGTGTCGTCTATGTACGGATGCGGCGTCTCCTGCACCACCGACTGCGGCGTGTTGCTCACGCAGTTGCTGTTCGCCGCGGTGTCCTCCAGCTCGGTCACGCACTGCTCCAGCAGCATGCCGCCGATCGTGCAGTTCACCTTGCCCAGGGCGATCAGCACCGTCGAGATGGTCTCCTTGGCGGACGTGCAGACCCGATTGGCCACCGCCAGCTTCAGCAGGTCCACCAGCACCCTGGCGTCGTCCTCCGTCAACGCCGACGTGAACTCGTCGAGGCCGGAGTCGGTGGCGGCGCCCTCGCCCACCACCTGCGCGTTCGACGTCAGGGTGGCCGCGATCACGCTCATCGCGCCCGTCGACATCTTCGAGGCGCGCGACGACACGCTCGAGCTCGACATGGACGGGAACATCGCCAGCGGGAAGTCCTCGGACTCCGGAGTCATCCTGGGACTGGTCGGCACGTTCGCCGCCTCGGCGACGTTCGCCGGCGCCTCGCCCCCGCCTTGCGCGATGTCGCCGACGTTCTGGTAAACCGCGTGCTCCGTGCTCGAGGTCATGCCGGCATCCGCCGCCGACGGCGGCACGTCCGTCAAAGGCGTGTGCTTCGCCGGGGCGCGGTCGAGGTCGGTCAGGGTCGAGTGGCTCTGCAGGGCCGTGACTATCGCCGTGCGCGCCTGCATTATGAGGAGGGCGTTTATCACGTGCTGCAGAGCCTGCTGCTTCGCGACGTTGCTCTCCAACGAGAGTATTATACTGGCGAGGGACGGTCGGCTGGCGACGGCGTTGCCAGTCGTCGCCACCGCCCCGGCCTGCTCCGCCACGTTACCCAGGCCCAGGCACATCTGACCCAGCGGATCTCTCGCCGTCTGGAACGTGACCGGCTCCTGATTGCCGTTCGTCGGCTGGTCCACCAACACCCAGGCGATGCTGTGACTCGACCCGCAAGACACCCGGTTCACCCTCGCGTCCTCCAGCTCGTGCACCAACGACGGCTTCCTGTTGACGATCGTGGTGCCGTTGCCCTGCTGCCCGTGGTCGTTGTCGCCCCACGCGTACACCTGGCCGGTGTCGGTTACCGCGAGACAGTGCAACGCCCCGACCGCCACGTGAACGATCTTCTTCCCCCGCAGACCCTCGACCAGCGTGGGCTTCCTCACGTGGTGATCGTTGCCGTGGCCGAGACGAAAGTAGTCGCCCTTCCCCCACGTCCACACCTCGCCGTACTTGGTCAGAGCGAGGGAGAACTGGGCGCCGCATTCGACCTGAACGACTCCCAGGCCGTTCAGTCGGTCCACCAGCAAAGGCGTGTAACAGCCGTCGCTCCCGCCCCGTCCGAGCTTGCCGAAGTCCCCGTCGCCCCAGGTGTAGACGCAGCCGTCGGCGGTCAGGGCCATGGTCTGCGCGTCCCTGCTGCCGCAGGCCACCTGCACCACCCTCTGGCCGCTCAACGCCTGCACCAGTTTGGGCTTCGTCTGCGTGCCGGTGTCGCCGTGGCCCAGCCTACCGTATTCGCCCAGGCCCCAGGTGTAGAGCTCGCCGTTGCTGGCGATCGCCGCCGAGTGCCCGGAGCCGCACGCGATGTCGCGGATTCTCTTCGACTTGAGCGACTCGATCAGCCGTGGCTTGTCCAGCGTCGTGCAGTTCCCGTGACCCAGCTTGCCGTCCTCGCCCTCGCCCCACGAGAACACTTTGCCGTCCTGGGTGAGAGCGAGGGCGTGCTTCCCGCCCGAGTGCACCGCCACCTTCTTGATCACGTACTGGCTGAGAAAGGGTATCGGCTTCGGCTCGCAGATGTTGTTGTCGTCCCCCAGACCCAGCCTGCCGTTCGTACCTTCCCCGCACGCGTAGAGCTTGCCTTCCTGACTGACGATGAAGAGGGTCTTGCTGCCGCCGGCTATGTGAATCGGCTTCAGCTTGGACAGCACCTCGCTGTACACCGGCACCTTGATCTTCGAGCCCTTCAGGCCGCCCAGCTGGTCCTTGTCGTTCAGACCCCAGACGTAGACGGCCGACTGCTGGGGCGGCGCATCGGTGCCGCGTTGCGCCGTCACCTGCTCCTGCAGGACCTCCCAGTCGGACGCGAGGAACGAGACCGAGGTGGTCAGCTGGTTCTCGAACACCCTCTTGCGCCCTACGACGCGCAGACCGTGGATCTTGCAGTCTATCCCGCCGTTTCTGCACTGCTTGATCGCGATCTCGACGCACGGGTAGTACTCCTTCATGTCCTGCAGCAGCGTGACGCTGGTGTCCGAGTGGCGCACGCTTATCGTCGTCAGCTCCACCAGGCTGACGAACGAGTCGCCCGCGTTCACCGCCACCACCGACGGCATGTAACTGCTGTCCTGCGGGTCCGCGATGATCTTGAGGGAATGTATCAGGATGCCGGGCAACATCTCCAGCCGGATCCAATGCTTGCCCTGGGAGCCGCAGCTCTGCCAGTACTTGCCGGAGCCGTCCACCAGTCGGGTCGCCCAGTTCTCCCGCGACGACACGCTCAGAGTCCGGATGCACTTGGACCAGTCCTCGATCAGGGACGGCTCCGTCAGATCCTGCCGGTGGTACCTGCCCGGCTTGCCGGCGTAGACCGCCGCGGAGCCGGGCTCGGCGATCCTGTTGAAGCCGTGCCGGTGGGACCGCTTCGTGTAGAAGCAGTTCTCGCAAAGGTTGTAGTTGTCGCAGTACTTGCACTTGAACCGGGGCCCGGAGATCGGCGATAGGCAGCAGGAGTTGCAGATGACCGAGTGATGGCAGGACGGCACCTTCTCCATCTCGGCGACGCAGCCGGTCCACGCGACCTGCTGCGGAAAGTCGACGTATACCTCCTTGCCGTTGTTGATGATCTCCGTGATGACGCCGACGCTGTGGTGATTCACGGAGCCCCACTTGTACTTCGGCACGGCGACCGACGCCTTCACGCGCACCTTGTCGCCGACCTTCAGCGTCGGCGGCCCGGGCAGGGAGGGGGGGTGGCCCAGCAGCTCTATGTGGATGAAGCGCACCCAGTACATGCTGCCCCTGCGTTGCCACGCGACCTGCGCGTTCAGATCGTGCAGGCCCTCCGGATCGATCTTCACCACCTGGCCGACGTCGCCGTACTCCACCTCCTCGTAGCTCTTGCAGCATCGCACCAGCATACCCGGCACCACGTTGTCCCGCACGTAGATCGCGTACTCGTCCACCGACAGGAAGTCCGAGCGCTTCATGTACGTGGGCGGCGGCGCGCCGCCCATCGTGGAGGCGGTCTCCTGCGCGGACGGCGAGTCGTCCATGTCCTCGCTGATCGAGTCGTCGATGTCGGTCAGCCCGTCCGGACTGGACAGGGTCTCCGTGTCGCTGAGCGCGGCGTCCGGATTCTCCAGCAGCCAGCCCACCACGCTCTCGGCGGTCACGCTGCCCTGCTCGCCGACGCTCAGGCTCTTGATCGCCAGCTCCACGCTCCTCTTGTGGAAACCCATCTCGACCAGCTGGGCGACCAGCGGGCTGACCGACGCTGCCGCGGAGCTCCTCCTCGCGGCCACGTTCGCCTTGCAGTGCCTCTTCTGGCTGGACGTCAACGAGACCAACGAGCACTCGGATATAGGCGTGGTCGGGTCCGAGGCGGTGATCCCGGTGCGCTGGATGGGCGTGTGCCGCAGCTCCGACGCGAGGTACTGCGAGACCGCCAGCGCGGCCTCCTCCATTTCTCGCCGCTTGAAGATCGGCTTCAGCGGCTGCGGCTTCGTCGAGCGCAACAGCATCTCCTGCAGGAGCGTGCAGCAACTGTGCCGCTCGTCGTCGTTCACGTCGCTGCTCAGCGGACACTTGAGGATCCTCCGCAACTTCGACTGGTAGGCGAGCATAGCCCTGCCGGCGTTCAAGGCAGCGAGCTGCTGCTGCTGGGTGCGCAGGATCGAGGCGTTTACGACGCCGGCGATCACCGGCATACCGCCCGGCCGCATGCCGGAAGTGGTGCCCAGGAACAGGCTGGCCCAGGTGGATATCAGTTGCTCCGTCAGCGGCATCCGGTCCAGCTGGAACACCTCGGTGACGCGCTTCACCGCGTAAAACGGCACGATCTTGCGCGCCCTGTCGCCGGCCTGCAGCTGCACCACCAGCTTCGAGTGCTTCGTGAACCTGCAGACTATGGCGAGCTCGTTCTCGTGATTCACCAGACCGCCGATCCTTATCCGATTGTCCAGGCCGCCGATCACCACGAGGGTCGCCATCACGGTCCTCTGGATGTTCAGACTGTTCTCGCCGTCGTTCTCGTTCATCTGTATGTGAATCAACGGCCCGTCGCTCAGCAGCTCCGCCGTCAGGGCCAGTTTCGCCGCGAGGAAGCGGTTGATGATCGCGTTCCAGCCGGGCAGACTGTGCAGCAGCCTGATCAGCCATATCAGTTCCTCCGCCACGGTGGAGCTGTACGACGCGGTCAGGGACATGCGGCACTTGTTCGAGTGGAGCTCGACGTTCGGCCCGATGTCGCAGGCGAGCGCCACCTGGCCGAGTATCTCGAAGGTCCTCTCCAACAGCTGCCTCATGTCGTTCAGGTCCCTCTCGACCGCCCAGGAGGGCAGGACGGCCGCGAGCAGCCTCGTCACCGTGATCTGCTTCTCCAGGCAGGGCTTGCTCTCGTCCACGACGATGCTCAGCAGGAAGTCCAGCCACGCTTGCGAGCTCAGGGACTTGCACAACTGCTTGGACCTGGCGATCGCTCTCAGCAGGCCGAAGGTCGCCCAGGTCTCGTGATGCTGCCTCGCCAATTGAACGGACGTGTTCGGAACCTCGCCGGTCTTGTTCGCGGCCGATACTATACCGTGCAGCGTGGACGCCAGGATCTTGATGGACGTCGCGGACACCTTGTCCGCTTCTATGCCGCAGGAGAGCAGGATTATCCGCAGCAGGGTCGTCGAGGCGGACTTCAGACAGGTCGTCGGGTACAGTTCCCGGCCGCGTGAGGCGGCGTTCTCCGGATTGTCCGCGTCGGCCGGCGGGTCGCTGTCGATCTCGTCGTTGTCGTCGTCGGGAGGGGTCGGCGGCTCGGCCAACTTCAGGTCGTACTTACCCTCCTTGCCCATACGGTACGAATTCGTCGCCCCGTTGTCCCACTGCACCCTTATCCAGCCGTCCTCGCCGAGCTCACCGATCACCCTGCCTTCGCCGGGCGGCGGCCCGTCCTGATCGCCCCACTTCCAGTCGACCCCCCGCACCACTCGCGTGCCGATCTTCATCAGCGCCGCCAGCTCCATGCCGCTGAGCTGAACGCTCTGCGGCTTGCTCCGCTGTATGGTGTCTTCGTAAATCGCCGTGATCTCCGTCCTCAGCCGCGAGGCCTCGCCGCCGCCGCCGCCACCCTGCTGGCCTTGGTCCTCGCCGGCATCGCAGAAACTCGTCGCGGACGACGGACCGATTTGCCGCAGCAGAGTCAAGACGCTCGACAGCAGGCCCGAGTTGACGAGCAGGCCGATCTTGTTGGCGCACTGATAGCTGGTCAGCATGCCGAGGATGGTCAGCAGGAAGCGCGCCCTCGGCAACTTCCGCAGCCACGTGTAGGTACCCTGGTTCAGGCTGCTCTTCCCGCTGATCTTCTGCTTATTCGGCAGCTCCGCCTGCACGACGTACGCCCGTAGCGCCTGCACTGCCCACGAGGTCACCTCGGCCTCCGCTAGGATGACCTTCGACTTCTGATAAGGAGTCGTCAGCTGTATGTTGTAGAGGCAATGCGTGATGCCGTCGCTCAGCGACTTGTTCTCGTACGTGAGACCCAGCCAGCCGTTCAGCAGGGAGTACTTCACCGACGTTACCAGGTAGTCCTTCTTCAGGAGCTCGCGCATCATCAGGATACCCTGTTCCCGCACCTTGGCGCGCTGCATCTGGCAGTACATGGCGCGTCGCAGCGTCTCGACGTCGCCGCCGATGCCGTTGTTCATGACGAAGTTGATGATGTTGGTGGTCAGGCCGTTGTAGTCGGCGGTGGCCCACTGCACCGGCCCGTAGCGGATCCTCTCGGTCATCTGCATGATCTTGTTCTTGATGTCCGATATGTCCTCCAGTTTCGCGGAGGACGCAGCGGCCAGACCCTCCTTCGAGGAGGTCGTGCTGTCCTCGTCCGGCTTGTTCTTCGCCTTGGCGTTCTGTATCGACGCGTTCAAGATGTCCTCCGGCTTGCCGCCGCCCGGTGACGCTTTGTTCCTGCGAATGTCGGCGATCACCATGCGGACGGCTCGCTTGAACCTGGAGTCGGTGTGCAGCAGCTGGAGATCCTCGAAGCCCTTCACCTCGTAACTCGTCGCCGACCTCACCTCGTAGAGGAGGAACCGGCACCGCTCCTGCGCGGGCGCGCAGACTTCCTTGTAGCTCCTGTTCTGCTGCTGCCTGGTCCGCACCAGGTTCCACTTGGCCTGGTAGATCGCCCGCATTATGTCGGCCAACGGGGCGGTGAGTTTCGCGCTGTTGGCGGCTTTCAGTTCCTCCTCGGCCAGCGCGAGCGCCTGTTGGCCCAAGCCGAGGTGCTTTATGATCACGGCCAAGAGGGCGCGACTGATCTCCTCGACCGGATGGTCGACGTAGAAGTCGGCGTGCGAGAACACGTTGTCGGCCTTCTGATGCCGGTCGATTATCGCGAGGAACGCGCGCACGTGAGCGTCGTCGGTCTTGTGCGCCTCCGCCAAGGCCTGCACGAAGCCGACCGTGCGATCGTCGTTCTCCCTCTGCTGCTCGTTCTTCGTGTGTATCGGCAGATTCGGCGGTTCCGTGGGCGAGTTCGCGGCGGTCGACGTGTTGCTCCTCGCCTCGTCCTTCTCCTCCTCGTAGGGGTTCGGCGGCTGCAGGACCTGCAGGCCGCCCCGCAGGAAACTCGCGCTCAGCCAGACGCCGGCCTCCTCCTCCGCCGGCTGCAGCGCCAGACTCTGCCGCATCCTGTAGGCGTGCAGTCCGAGCAGGAACCCCAAGGCTCGCTCCGTGTCCAGGAGGGACGAGCAGACGTCGGTCACCTCGATCGTGAAGCTCGCGTTCTCGTCGGGCTCGGCCTGGCGGGAACAGAGATGATGAAAGCGACTCGCGATGACTTTACTCGATAAATTACGGTAAAATGCCCGGTGGCTTCGGAAAACCGTGTGAAATGGTTGATTTAGAAAAGAACCAGGGGAACAAGAAAATTTTGACACGAAGCTCGGAAGGAGCATCTAGCACCGTTCAGATGAAAAAAAAAACACCTTAATTGACTATTATTTATTCATCAGCTACCCGATAGACAGAATAAAGTCGTGGAAAATAATAGAAATTACTTCGGAGATTAAACTTTTACCTGACCTTTTCTAAGCAAACTTGGAACTTCACGGAAAAAAAGGCGCCGAGTACACCTAATACAATAAACTGCCATCTTACCGTAAAGTTTACCGTAAATAATCGCCACTTTGAATCTGACGGTGATTCTATATCTCTACCTGGGAGTAATGGCCGACGAAGCAGGAGTCCATCATGCCGCGGGGCGGCGCAGGGCCGTTGGGCGCTCCTGGCTGCGTCCCGCTGCCGTCGTCCCGTCCGATGTACCTCTGCAGCACCTCGTAGGGCGACCACGAGCCCTCCTGCCTGATGTCCTGTATGTCGTAGACGTTGTTGTTCACCACCACCCAGAGGCCGCCGTCGCGATTGTGGTTCTCCAGATCGGCCCAGCGTATCAACGTCGGCTCCTCCTGCGTGGAGATCTTGTTGCCGAGTTGGGGCGCGATGATGCCTGGCCACGACAGCTCGTCCGCCTCGTTCTTCTCTATCGCGGGCGTCAGTCGGATGAAGTAGTCGAGCGCGTCGAGGACGGGCGCGATCATCTCCATCCAGTTCATGTCGATCAGCAGCATAGGGCAGTCGACCTTGAGCAGTATCAGGCATACCACCAGCTCGGAGAAGAGCACGTTGATGATGTCGTTCTTGAGGACGCCGATTACCGTGATGAAATCCTTGACGGAACGGCCGGCAATCTCGGCCGCCAACGGCAGCGTCTCGGTCACGTGTTCGCAGATCTGCGCGATGTACTTCCTCAGGAGCGACTGCGCGCCCAGCATCTCTTCGTAGAGGTCATTGGTGCGCAGCTTGCGGCCGACGCATTCGTACACGTGGCCGATCAGCAGACGCTGAAAGCACAGCAGGAGATTCAGGCTGGGCGAGTTGCCGAACTTGCGCCGATGCTTGTTCCGCTCGTTCCGCTCGTTCTGCTCGTTCGGCAGCGGCAGCTGCGACGCGCCCTGCTGCAGCTTCGACTGCGTGATGTACGTGCCGTTCCGTATCAGCTGCTGTATGAGCTGCAGCAACGAGATGGTCGTGATGTTCTTGCTGGAATTGAAGCCGTCCTTCATCGCCTGCCTCGTCTCGCTCTTGGCCTTCGCGACGTTCGACGCACCGACGTCGACGAGGAAGTCCTTCTCGTCCGATATGTCGGCGATCTCCGCCTTGACCGCGGCCTTCAGCGCCAGTTCCAGTCCGCCGTCCGCCATCAGGCTGGACACCAGCAGGTCCGCCATGAAGCGTTGGCCGTTGTTGTTCGCCGCGCCGGACTGCTCGACGTTGTTGATGGTGTTCGGCAGGAAGCTCGACAGGGTCTTGGCGCGCTCGTTCGCCGTCGGCAGCAGCACACTCCAACCGGTCTTCAGGACGTGTTGCGCCGCCTCCTGTATCGTCGCCAGGATGCCGGTCGCGCTCGCCAGGCTCACGCAACGTTGCTTCAAGGAGTTCAGCAACGTGGAGTTGGCGGCGAGCCCGACCGACTTGACGTCGATATTGTGCATCAGGATGGTTTGCAGCTGCAGCTGCAGCAGATTCAGCGTGGCCACCGCGAGGCACTCGCGATCCTGCGTGGGCGGCCGGATGCCGGGGAGGCCCTCGCAGGACTTGGCCAGGAGCGTGTCGATCAGCTGAAACGTTTCCTCGCATATGTCCATGATGAAGGGCATCCGGACGGCGTGGTCCGACCATGTCGACAAGCACCAGGCGAAACTCTGGGTTGGCCCGGTCGCCAGGCCGATGACGTTCTTCGAGGAAAAGACGTGGCTAAGCGAGGGCTTGGTGACGACGGGGATCAACGTGGGATCGACCTGACCGTAGTCGTTCCTGCCCCAACCGTAGACCAACAGATCCTCGGTCAGCGCCAGTATGTGCGTGCCGCCCACGGACAGGTCTTTGATCTTCTTGTTCTTCAGCGACTCGATCAGCTTGGGATACCTAATGTGCTCCTCGTTGCCGTGGCCCAAACGATAAGCGTCCCCCTTGCCCCAGGTGTACACTTCCCCGCTGGCCGTCAGCGCGGCGGAGAACTGGCCGCCGCAGAACACCTTCGCGACGTTGATGTCCAGCAGCTTGTCGACGATCTTGGGCGTCTTCGAGCCGTCCGAGCCGCCACGGCCCAATTTCCCGTAATCGCCGTCGCCCCACGAGAACACTATGCCGGAAGCGGTGACGCAAAGAGTCTGGGAGTCGCCGCTGCCGCAGGCCACGTGCACGACCTTGTGACCCTTCAGCGCCGTCACCAAGGTCGGCACGGTGATGTCGTCGTTGTTACCGTGGCCCAGCCTGCCGTAGTTCCCTCTTCCCCAGGTGTACAGCTCGCCGCTGGCGCTCAGGGCCGCCGAGTACGTGCTGCCGCACGTTATGAACACGATGCTCTTCTCCAGGAGCGCCTCGATCATCTTCGGCTCGTCGTGGGAGATGTTGTCGCCGTGCCCGAGTCTACCGCCGTCCCCGTTGCCCCAGGAATACACGCAGTTGTCCCGCGTCAGCGCCAAGTAATGCTTGCCGTCCGAGTGAGAGGCGATCATCGAGACCTGCTTGTTCGTGAAGCCGTTCACCTTCTGCGGATACTGGGTCTCCGATCCGTAATACATCATGTAAACGTGGCCGCTCGTGGTCAGTATCAGTAACGCCCGCTCGGTGCAGCACAGCTGCTTCACCCCCAGCTCGGCGATCGCGTCGCAGTAAACGACGGAGGAGCCGTTGCCGAACTTGACGCAGCCCCAAGCCAACACCTGCTGCCGCGAATACCCGCCGCTCCCGTTCGTAGGGAACTCGTACTCGGCCCGGACGTCCGGTAAGAGGGGAGAGGCCAGCCTGCTGAGGTTGCACATTATGATGACCGCGGCTTTCCTCAGGTCGACCGATATGCCGTCGTCGTCCGGCAGTTGCAGGTACTTGAGCAGAACTTCGCAGGGTCCCGGCACGGGCGGCTCGAAGAGCCTGTAGGACACCGTAACCGGAATCTTGTTCAGCCGTCGCAACAGCGGGACGAGCGGCGCCGTGCTGCCGGGTGGCGTTACTCGGTTGTCCTGATTCTTGTTTTTGCTACTGAGGTGCAGCAGCAACACCACCGAGTCCAGCAGGCTGGACAGGGTGGCTCTTTGTGCGACCAGCTCCAGCAACAGGCAGAGCGCCGTGTGCTGATCCGACAACGGCACAGAACGCCATGATCGTCCGGTGGTTACCTCTCTAAGGACAAGTATGACATCACGAATGCGTGTGCATGGGCGATAATTAATCGTAAGAGCGACACGTACCCGGTGACGACTTGTCGGAGAAATTTGGCCGACCTTTCGACGACTTCTAACCAGATCGGAGAAACGTTACTTTCGTCGAAGAGAGTCGCCTCGGGTAACGATTGCAACGCCTCCAGTGACTCGGTGAGCAACTCGCTACAGAACTCGACGTCCTCTCCGGACCGCCAGGCTCTTCTCAAGTACGCGAACGAGAAATTGAGTGCGGCGCGCGAACCGACGCGCGCCAATCCTAGAGTCGCCTTCTCGTTAGGCACCACCTTTTCGTTAGGCCTGCAATTTACGAAGTGTCTTTAAGCTCTAACGTTAGCATGCTAACGGCACGAGTTTTGTATTACGAAAACGTAATAAGCACAACGTGCTCCGGTGAAAATGGTGCTTTCAGCAAAAATATCCCTACAAAGCATTTGCTGCAACACGTATTTGGCCGATTTCGGCGGCATATACTCAACGTTTTCAGCAATTTTCCGATAGGCTTTGGTAAACTCGAGCTATCCCTGATCTCTTGCGGCTTATGACGCGACAAGGCGGTGAAATATCTCCGGGCGATTATCAATCGTTGTCTCAAACGCGTCGCTGATAATGTGCTGTTTGCGACTTCGCAGCACAGCTTCCGCTGCTCCTTTATCGACGAGTCGATACAGTTTCTCAAGTCACCGAGTGCTAAAAAGGAAAAAAAGAGATGTGAATATAAATACATGCATAGATATAAGTTTGGTAAAGTATATGAAAATATGCACGACTATATTTATCAATCAAAACATACAATTCGCCGAAATCCATATTGAAGTTGCATGTGGGGACATCCCTTTGTGTGTAAATACACTTGATTATTCTAGTGTGTGCAAATTCTTTAAAATAAACCAACGATTAGCATATCAATACAAATGTGTTTACATGGTGGTGGTCCCCACAGCCATGAGTCCATTATCCGCCGGGCAGGTATAGCCTTCTCAACCATCGCTGCTGTTCTTGCCGCTTCCTCTTCGTCGAGCTTTTGGCAAGGTACACAATTGCAGCCATGTTGTGGACCGCAGATCCCATCACAGCACAGACAAGTTAATACTCTCATACCACAGTAATAACGCCCATTGTTACCTGCCGAGGTAACAATAAGAGAAATTAGTATCTGTTAGCAGTTGTATTCTGTTGTCAGGTAAAATAACAAAGCGAATAAGAACGTGACAGAGTGCAAATAAAAATAAGATAAATAACAAGTAGAACAAATAATGTAAATAACAGGTGACATTATAAAACAGATTTCACCCAAAACTGATGAGCTAAGCAAATATCTGCCTGATATCCGGCTGGATGGTCTATACATACCCTTCTTCGCTTGAATTCCAACGAAATTGATCAGGCCGTCACTGAAGGATCCAATAAGTTCTCCGTCCCGCACCATCTCGTTCCACATCTCGGCCAATCCATCACGGTTAAGGAATCGTTGTAAGTCAGTCTTCAGCCACTTCGTGTCCAATCTTAGATCGGGTCTAAGTGTTATATTTAATTGGCTACTCATTTTATCTATCATATATGTACTCTCCTTATAGCTTCTCAGTATACAGCCGCTAATTCATCGATATTCAGGCATAAATAATGCATCGGATTACACTGAGATTCAGTTAAGAGCAATGACTGTCTTAGGTAAGATCATTTCTCCTCCTCGCTTCCATCGCAAGATATCAATTAATCTCTCGTCAGATCGATAAATAGAAAACGTTGCTTCGAGCACTAAGCATCAATTACTCAAGTACGGAGTCGAGTTTTCGGGCCGGACGTGATTTCGATGCGATAAATGAATACGGTTCCTCCTTGCGAGCTCCCGAGCTGACGACGACCAGGCGAATCTCAACACAGCACAGAATCCGCTCGGGAGGTTAACGACTGGCACCGTCCGCGATTTCTCGCCCGAAAGTTTTTACTCGCCCCGTCTCTCTCCCGTCTCCTCTAACCAGCCCGCATCATCTGTAAACATCCATCGTCGCTGATTAACCGTGATCCAAATTAAAGAGTCGCTCGAATGTTGTGACATCCGAGTTTCGTTATTTTGACATACACGCGACACACAACAAACCCGACAAACACGCACACACACATACTCGCACGCACACACACGCGACGTACGCTTGTACACACCCGCCGCAGTCCTCGCAGAGATCCGGTGTGATCGGCTGTTCGATTACCCACCGATTGCCACTACACTAGTATCGCCAGTATTCGCACGATAGCGCGGTAATCGAACACGCACGTGCGAACATCGTCGGCGTCGTGCGTGTAGGTGTACGCGTGTGCATAGGTGGGTATGTGGTGTATGTACGTGTGTGTCTCACGACGTGTCAAAACCACTGTCAGCTCGTTATTTCGCCGTGCGATTAGGTTAGGTTCACATTGGATCTACCTCTCGAGTGTTTCCATCGAGTGTCCGTTCCACCTTTCGCGCTGTTTATATGTGTACATCCTTGTGCATCTTGCGGATTCGGTGACTAGTGCACACCGTATATACGCATCACGCGCGTATTGATTATGGCGCTATAAACGGACACTCTCATACACACGCATATATAGGCGCACACACATTCACGCCACTTACGTAGCAATCGGCAAAACTGCCAGGCAATACACAGCCAATCATATGCGCCGATGTCATTAGCGCCGTCGATGACGGCAATATTGGGTTTAAATACCCCAACGCTGCTATTGGCTGATGCTCGGACTGCTCTTTAGAGTTCTCTCTCTCTGCACTATCTTGCAATCTTTTTTGATTTCTTCTCTCTTTCGCCGAACGCCGGACTGTGTCTACTTCATCCGAAGTGCAAAATGGTGCAACTTGACGCGACTATAAAGTGCAGGCTATTTGTTGCAAGCCGATTGGCCAACCACACGGAGAGCTGGCTTTACAGGTTATGTTTTACATCAGGCGCCGCAAATTGTGCCAGTACACTCGTTGTAGATAGAGTTATAAATTAACAAGAGCCAGCAGTGAGCATCCACGAGGACTGCGTCGCAAACATTTCGACGGAAATATGTTCAGTAGCGTAAAACATTCACTAAGATATAATCCATGTAAATTCGGTGAGAAGTACATTTATTATTATCATATTCATAAAGTCAGCATCATATGCACAATTTTATATTAATAAAAGATTCATCGTTGTATAGTTAGAGACTCACGATGAATCGGACATTTTTTATGCACTCAAAAATATCATCAACGTTCACCAGCGTCGATATGTTGCAATTTTAGGTTATCAATTGTTGGCGCAGTTGTCAGCGGGAACGACAGCCAAGAGCGATCCGGCAGCGCGAGAATGTACACGCAGGTCCCCTTCGATGTGCGGGCAACCGACGCCGACGACACATCCCCACTTAATGAAGCACGGGGAGGTAGTACCAGGTATATCACTGCAGGAATTTAGGAGACGACGCTCCAAGCTGGTAGAAAGTATCGTACAGGAGAACAACGCAAAAAACAGACAACAAATCGTCGTCATACCCGCGTCACCCAAGGTCTACATGTCCGACAAGATACCGTATGTCTTTCGACAAAATACCGACTTCTTGTACTTCTCCGGATGCCAAGAGCCGGACAGCGTCTTGGTGCTCACGTGCAAAGAGAATAGATCTTCGTCTGTTTTGTTTGTGAGACCAAGGGACAAACATTCCGAATTATGGGATGGTCCAAGAACCGGCGTCGACATCGCGGCCGAGATGTTCGGCACCGATCACGCTCTACCCGTTGCGCAATTCGAGCAGTTCCTCGCCTCGCTCCTGCAGAAAGACGCGAAGTCTATCGTTTGGTACGACAATGCTGACGTTGTTCAGCCGATCTTACATAAGAAACTGTGCCAGTTGATCGGATTGACGGACAATCAAATATTCGCCTCCCCCAAGACCTTGTTTCACCAAGCCCGCTTGATCAAGAGCGCTTGCGAGATCGATCTGATGCGGAGGAGCTGCGAGATCGCCTCCGAGGCCATTCGAAGAACGATTCAGGCCTCGAGACCGGGCATGAGCGAGCATCAGTTGTTCGCCACTATCGATTACGAGTGTCGTATGCACGGGGCCGAGTACCTGGCGTATCCTCCCGTCGTGGCGGCGGGCAAAAATGCGAACATAATACATTACATCAGTAACAATCAAGTTGTACAAAGTGGCGATTTGGTTCTGATGGACGCAGGTATGAACGGAAATATACGTACATTGAATACACGGGCTACCTGTTATCAGGATTCCTCGATGAAAATTACTTCTGTACCTTCGTCTGTACTCTTCAGGTTGCGAATACCATGGCTACACGTCCGACATAACGAGAACGTGGCCGATTAGCGGCAAGTTCACACCGGAACAGAAAGTCCTCTACGAAGTGGTGCTCGACCTACAAAAGGATCTGATAGAGGGCCTGAAAGAAATGCCGTCGCTGGACAACACGTACCATCGCATGTGCACCCTCCTGGGAGAGAAACTGCGGGATGTCGGCCTGATACCGAGGACCATCACCGAGGACAAAGTGTTCGCTGCCGCGTGCACGTACTGCCCGCATCACGTGAGTCATTATCTGGGAATGGACGTGCACGACACCGGGAAGATATCCAGGAGTATACAGATACAGCCTGGAATGATAATAACGATAGAACCCGGTACGATTCGAGCATTATCCGCGTACGTGCGTATCCGCAGGATCACTTTGCGAATTAACTTACGTGTTCCTTCGTGTGCTGCGCCACCAGGTGTTTACGTGAGCCCGAACAATCCTTACGCGCCGCCGCACTTTCACGGGTTGGGTATTCGCATAGAGGACGACGTCTTGGTGACGGAGAACGGGGCGGAAGTCTTGACGAAAAACTGCCCGAAGGAGGTGGCGGAGATTCAAGCGTTGGCGAGCCAGAATCAAGGATGTTGATAACGATACACGACGTGTAGGCGCGATATATTTTTTTATTCAAATTTTTAGGAAAAAGTATATGTGTGAGTATAAATAGACATAGGCACGCTGATCGTTATGGCGCGTATCGCGCAGTAATACGTATGTATTACTCGCATACATGTTGGTACAATCGTGTGTGATCTCGAACACCGGATTTCTTTCCCTTTCAGACAAGATCACGCGTATACGGCAGAAGTTCATACATCTTTTCAAATTCAATTGTTCGCATAATATCCATCTACCTCATGCTAAGAGCAACGCTGGGGTTCCGTCTATGCTAATGTGCGTATAGATACATTCACATATGTATGTGTAAAAATCCGAATTTTCTCCTATTCATTTCTTGGTTTCCTTATAGTTGCGCAATGCACGGCGTCTCGTCTCGAATTCATTCGGTGGACGGTTCCCGTTACTCGAAGATTTGTTCGAGCGGGAACAGATGAATATTACATACCTGGAACCAATAGAGTATCACCAGAATCAACAACAACAGGGTGTAGATGAAGAGAGCTAACGTGATCATTGATGTGCGATAAAACTCGCCGGTGTCGCGATCCACGGCACAATCGTAATGATATTCTTAATCGGTCAGGGCTGTACATAATTCTGCGACATACATGCGCAATCGTATGCGTGACCAGTACAATATCATTAGAATACCTTACAAAGTAGGGAGGAAAAGAAAAAAAATATCCGACCAATCACTCTCTCTGCCCGAGGTGATATCCCAAAGACAAGTATACAAATTAATATGCCAATATGTAAAAAAGAAAGAAAGTGTACAATAATAGACGATAAAGTGGCCTTTAAATGCAATTATGCGTGACGGTATGTCGCAACGTTGTTAACGCGCTGCGTACAACGACGTGGCATTTACGACGCGTCGATTTCGGTGATCTCAGGCGTGGGACTCTCGCATCTTGACGTCGGCTTGCTTGAGACTGACGTAGTTCGCGAGCTGCTTCGTCCGCAAACGAGACCACACAATGTGATTGTCCAGCGCATGGATCTGCGCAGCGGCGATCGCAGCGGTCTCCGGATGCAAGGCCGTCGTACAGCCGAGTCCTGCAAGTGCAATGTCGGTTTTACGGCTTTTCACGAGAAAGAGGATTGTTAGATCGTTGCGACGAGCAGTAACACCGTCGGCGGGGTATACTTACCCGAGGGAACGTCTAGCGAGGACCACACGTCTCGTGCGGCACTGTCCGGCTTGCAAGGCGGACAGTTGATGACAGGCAAGGTGGTATTGCCTGACAGCACTGGGCCCAGGCCGTTGCTACGGCCGGCCACTGCTATGAGCACCACCTATGTAAAGAGGGAAGAGTAAGAGAAAAGAAAAGAAAAAAACTCGCGATAAACAGAAATAAATGTGAGCCCTCTAAGGCTATCGTTGCTTTTTATCGTTCTTAACGAGCCTCACACGCGATCGAGCGCCGCATGATCGAACGACGGACCACTTCGACGGGTCAACGCGGGCGCTCTCGATATACCAGTTTATCTCCGCTCGTTATCGCGTCACGGGCAATGATCGTGAGCAACGTCGCGCTGCAGCGTGTCGTACCTTTTCCTTGCAGTTATCGTATTCGGCGAGGATATTCAAGGTCTCCACGGTGCTCTTGTGGGCACTGCAGACTCGGATGTCCGTTCTCAGGCCCAATGCCGCGGCGTGCTTCGCGATCTTGAGGCAATGCTCCTCGTCGGACGTCGAGCCCATGAGCACGACGATCAGCGGGCTGGGTCGCGCGAGGCAGTGGTCCAATTCGCTCGCCACCCATCGGAAGTTGATCTTGACCTTCTCCAGATCTTCCGGCTTCACTTCGCGCAGGTCCCGGTACACCTGGTGAGACAGACACGGATTAGGTGGACCTGGAAACGACGCTACGTCGGCACGGGGGCGGCCCGACGAAACTCTCACCTGCTTGTCTTTCATGCATCTTTTGTCCCCGGCAGGCCACAGCCTCCAAGAGTCACTGTCGATGATGTCGGCGACAAGGATCTCCCCGTTGGTGTCTACGCCGAATTCGATCTTCATGTCTATCAAGGCGCAGTTACGCGTGGCCCAGGCTCTCTCGAGAATCTCGAAGACGGCGAGAGCGGTGCGCTTCATGATGTCCACCTCGTTCCTGGTGATATTCACGCCGCCCACTCGGAAACCGGCCGAGATGATTTGCTGATCGGACCACTGCGGGTCGTGATTAGCGTCGTCCTTGAAGAACGTCTCTTGTAGAGGCGGGTTGAACGTGTATCCTTCCGGGACTCCTGGAAAATAATCACGGATGTACAGGGTGTCCCGACTGATCCTGTCGGTCCTGGGAATTGAATGTGCTGTATTCCATTAAAGAATCAAAGTGCGTCTATATAATATAGACAGGGACTATGTATATTTAGACACACCTGGATGCCTCTTCAGGAAGCTACCGGTCGCCATTCTTCGGGTGACCCACTCGATCGGTACCATGTCGCACTTTTTCGCCACGAAAGACTTCTCAGCGCCATGTTTGACGAATGCCGTCTTCAGACCGACTTCGGAGAGCAGCTTGAAGACCTTCACAGTGGTGGTCGTGCTGATCTCAGCTTTCCCCTCTAAGTTATGGGCCTTCGCGCCGTCTCCAGCCGTAATCCGGTCCTTGCTCACTAGCAAGCACAATGAAGGGTCGGTCAGAAGTTCATAGACTTTCTTGGTCTTGCCTTCAATGATCAGCTTCCCAAGCTTAAATTCGCCAGACATATTTGCTGTAAGAACAGAAAATAATACGTCAGTGTATTATAAATTTGAATGCAATCATGCTGATGATATATCCTATATTGACGAATCGTTATCCAGTTTTAGAATTGTCATAAGTGTACAAATGTTCTTTCTCTCCCTCCCTCTTTCTTGGTATTCATTTCGTAGGTCACACGACTATTGATTGCGTAACTAGAAACGACTCCGCAAAGAAAAGGAAGGGGGGGCGAACACCTTCGCTCGGAGCAACAAGTAGTTGCTCCGACATATTTATGGTACCAAGTCGGTCGTCGAGGACCGGTGTTTCAAATAACTGCATTATCACGCGACAAAATCATAGACATATCGACAGGTACATATCGACAGATTAAATTAAACAACGATTTCCGCAAGATTACAAACTGTAATTCAGAAATTATCCGTCGCAACGAGAAATTAAATCCGACACGATCTCAAACCTAACCTAACTGTAGAGCCCAATTCTAGAACCAAATATACACAGAAGTATGCTATTTATTCTAGCCGAAATTACTGCTCTATCCGAGCGATAGGGCGTAGTAACCTTTTATCGCGCACTATTCCGAACTCACCATTCAATCCGCCACTTTAATGTCTACTATTTGAGTGAGTTCAATCTCTGCCCGGTCTTCGAGTATATTCGTTTCTTCAGCGCGGTCCCCACTACGCGCGGGAGCCGCAGCCAATCGTCGATCGGTTCGAGCGATCCGTGATATTATCGTTTATTATTCTTTTTGGTCGGAAATCACACACGCGGATGAACATCGCCACGGCCGCCGGTAAAGAGCAATTGCAACGACGAAGACCGTTTCGTAAAGTCGTCGTGACGAAGATACAGCGGCGCCTCTGGATGGATACAGATAGCGAAATATATGTTTAACGAGTCAGTACGAGGAGAAAAAAATTCCGGCGTGATAATAAGCGTCCTGGAGGATCAGCCGGCAGTATGTTGATCGCGCGATAAGCAGCGCCGATTCGTAAAATTTCTCACGCATCACACGAGTGATCGTGTCTCGGCTTTCACGGCTAACGAAAGCGTGTGATCCAGCGTGACCTTTCCCTTCGCGATATCGAGATCCGCTCCCGAACGTAGAGCGCGAGATAAGCATGCACCCAGGTACGACGGAGCGGAGAAAATCGCAAAGGAATGTAGAAAATGCATCCGAGAAAGAGATCACGCTCTCCTCCATTAGCGGAAGAAATTCACACGGTATCTGTTGTAGGATCTTGTTATTCCCCTTGAACCCTGTGTCCTTCGGCTCGCCACGCGGTTTTTGGCATGTGAGCTGTTGCTCCGAGGAGAACACGAAACTTACCTATTTGTCACGGGAGATTGTAATAGATATTAGTTTTGAACAGGTATGTATTCGAGCAGGATTACGAAATTTCCCAGCAAGCGAGAAACATCAAGTCAATCTTTTAAAATATTGATCTTACGTGGGTTTTATGAATACTTTGAAGTAATATTTTATAAATGTTTCTAAACTCTTACTACTTGATGATATTATATCTTTAAATATTAACCCTTTGCACTCGAGGGCTCCGGAGCGGAGCCATTTAAAATTTGTCTTCAAACTCGAGGGCTCCGCTATGGAGACAATGCAAATAACTTTCAGTTCATAACATGAAGACGAAGACAAATCGTAAAAACTATTGTGTATAGGATATTCCGCTCTTGCTATTTGCATTGTCTCCATAGCGGAGTCCTCGAGTTTGAAGACAAATTTTAAATGGCTCCGCCCCGGAGCCTTCGAGTGCAAAGGGTTAAAACTATGGCGCGTGGAAACATTATTTTAATGTTTCGATCAAATATTGTCAACGCACTGAGAAAGAGATTTTTTCAAATTGAATAAATTTTATCGCGTCCAAACAAATTTTATCATTGGCATGCTCCAAAGAAACGAATATTTCGATTAATAAGTACGATTGTTAGACTTTTCAACGAATATATATCTTAAATAAAAAATTTGCTTGGAACGAAAGTTAATTTTCCTATAAAGAACTACATATTTAAAAACATGTTACATATAAAATATCATGTAGTAACGTTATGTTAACGTTAAAAACGAAAGAATTTCTAGCTTACTGGGTTTATCCGCGGACAATCGAGATATGTAATATTTTACTTCCAGCATTTTCGTCACTACTGTGTATCCTCTGACCGTAAAGACCCCTAAGATATGACTCGTAAATCTAATGTGTAATATTTCAGATATGATTGAGGATTTCTCCGATACGGAAAAATACGAGGAGATACGGAGAAATATTCTTCGCGTGGGGTAAACAACATATTTTCGTCCACCGCATCAAAGATCAATTTCTATCACCGTTGTTATCGGTGCTTCGTCAACTCGGAACCCAGAGAGTGAAGTCATTGAGAGAGAGAGAGAGAGAGAGAGGGGGAAAAAGAGACGCATTATTTACAGGACTGACTTGCTGTAAATTTAAACAATCAGATTACGCTTGAGATTTGTGCAATACGACGCACAGATCATTGATTCATTCGTAGATCTCGACGGCGATAATTGACGCCACGTTATCGGGTTATCACGACGTGAGAAGTGAGAAGCTGATTTCGGAAGTCGCCCCACGACGCAAAATGCTGTTTAGCAATCCACTTGCTTGCACAATCCGCCGTATTTAAAGTATATGGTACGCTTCCCGATGACAAAGACGACTACGGAGATCGCGTGAGACGAGACGGAGGACGCGAAGGGCCCTTTTTCCTCGTCCACCGAGAGAGATCGGCATTCTTCTCCGCAAGAGACGCGCAGAGTATACCACACGTTCTTCCACCTTCCTACTCCCCTTTTTACAGGAAGGAGCAAAAGTTAATAGGCTGAGCATCAGCCCCCCCGGGAAACGGCGCGTGTTCCTCATTGGCTCGCGCCGCCGTTCGCGCCATTCGAGCTTTGGAACGCGCAGTGGAACACATTTTGTTACGGACAGACGTTTATTCGGCCCCGAGGACGCACTGAACGGACGCTGGACACACTTCGCACGGGATATACACGCCCACGTGAGTAAGGTGCACCGTCAGTCACACAATAATCTCTCTCTCTTTCTCAATTTCTCTCTTCTTTCTTTTCTCTCGTCGATTGCTCTTTCAATTACAGCGATTCGTACACACGCTCTTACGGCGACGCGCATCAATCGTTCCTTCACGAGTACACACCTGCATCTTGTAGAGTGTTGCTAGTTCTTTTTCTCCCTTTTTTTTTTTCCATAGGACGAAGGAGTCGAGACGTGTGATGATAAGTTGCGAAAGTGAGAGGAGGCGCGCATTTCTCGAATATCACTGGAAATTGTAACCGGTGCGCGAATGCGTGTGAATGTCAATTGAACGTGAATAGACTGGATCTCTGAATTAATGCCTCTTGCTGTACTGCCGGAGGCCGTCCGGCAATTTACTTTGCCGCATACTCATCGAACACGTGTGCAGGAAAACTAACCGCTTATCAGCGCGTGATACTTTATCGCCCTTTCGAACTCCCTGCTAGCGTGTAGTACTCGATTTGACTAAAAAAATCTTGTCCATTTTTTTTATTTTCCTGCGAACGCTTTCTGTGATCCCACATGGAAATATCTATCGGTACTTTTTACGACCATAGGAAAATGATGGCGCATTAATTAGCGCATTGATTAGCGCGTCCACGTGTGATGCGGTTCGATGAAGAGAGGAAGAAGGAGAAACTGCGTCACGTTTGCATGCGTGCGTAGGCAGTTGACAGTTCTCGCGAGTGGAAAAAATCGGCCTATCGCGTGGAAAATATTTCGCGATCTCGTGTATGACGTAGGAGATTAATTTGCTATAAATACAAGCACAACCGTTCTATATATCCCGATATTCGTGCTGTCAACACAGCGCACAGGATGATGAAATCAGTTACGAAATCGCAGATTGAGCAAACGCACGATGAGGAAATATAGTTGTAAACGTTCGACAAATAAAACGATATGTCAATTCTATCAGCTCGCTTGGGGGTCAATAGTTTATAGGGGCATTACAGATAATACGTAGATAGTACAGTTGCGAAAGAATCCATTAGAAGTGTCTCGTGATGGGACGTACAATATCCCACTGGTTCAGATTGGTATCTGTCACAAAATTATCACAGATGTCGAGTAGTAATATACAGAATTTTCCATTGTCGGTGGTATCTCCGTGAGAGATTTCCCACATTGAGAGATTTCCCACATTCACATTTTGTGACTGGAAATTATTGCGTGTGGATGTCACTATGTGTGTTGCTGCTTATGAAAGGAAACTTTCCGACCGTCTGATTTGAGAAATACTGATAAAAAAGGCCAACTGGTGGATTGCGATAATAACGAGTGTAACTCAATCATCGTGTCATCTTCCACTGACCTCACGATTCGCTGACGCTCTATCATGAGATTTGCCGGTAAGAAACAAACGAAAAGGTTGAATCTCGGTCTCTTTATAGATTGCATCATGGAAACGTCTTGCGATAAAGATACCAAGCAATGCACCGGAGCAATGTCTCGCCTGTCGATGGAAAAGACGTCGAAATGTACGAGGCCACGTAGCAAAGGTGAGAGCAGAGGGCAAAGCCTCACCGGTCTCAGTCACGAATGCGGTGTTTTTGGATGTATCGCTGCTGGGGACTGGCCATCGCACATTGACGTCGGCCAAATTATCTGTTTAGGTAAATAAGTTTGTGCGTGTTCACGTTTCTTTCTGACGCGAATCAGCGGAAATATTATCGGAAGATAACGCAAAAGCAGAGAGAAGGATGTCAACGTGAGTAGAGAAAGAATGGATATATAAAAATGGGACGAGTCAAAGTATAACGTATGTTGTATCGTGCGGGTGTGAGGAAGATCACGTTGAATTCGATTCGCAGGTCTTGTGGCCTTGCAACATCGGGGGCAAGAGAGCGGCGGCATCGTGACGAGCGAGGGGGTCTGTTCGAAGTCATTCCACGTTCACAAGGGTATGGGAATGATCAATAGTATCTTCAACGATGAAAATATGAAAAAGCTCAAAGGGAATCTCGGAATTGGTCATACCAGATACAGCACGAGCGCAGCTAGCGAAGAAGTCAACTGCCAGCCATTCGTGGTCCACACTGCGCATGGTGCGTTGGCAGTGGCTCACAATGGAGAGTTAGTAAATACAGAGTCACTGCGAAAAATGGTAATATGGAATGAGAAAATCTTTATGCTCCTTTTTGCCGGTCGTCTCTCTCTCTCTCTCTCTCCTTAATTAGCTCGATGTATACTCGCGCGTCACTTACTTCGCGCCGCTCTCACCGCGCCGTTAATGCGTCTAATCCCAATATTCTTCTCATGCGTATATTCATAGGTGTTAGGCCGAGGGGTCGGCCTGTCGACGCACTCGGATTCCGAATTGATAACACAAGCGCTCTGCTTGAATCCACCGGAGGGTGAGGTCAACGGGCCGGATTGGCCCGCGCGTATCAAGCATCTTATGCAATTGGCACCGTTATCGTACTCCCTGGTTATCATGCACAGGGACAAAATTTACGGTGTGCGAGATCCCTACGGGAATCGACCTCTCTGCCTGGGCAAGATCGTGCCGATCGGCAACTTGGGTACGCATTAAACCACCGTCGGACACTGTCGGTGTCTCGGCTTGCGATACTTCCCGTTTATACACTCCCTGGCCGTATTATTAGACGCACTTTGACTTTTTAATAGAATACAGATAAAGAGAAGAAAAGAATAACGTGGACAGGGACTGTGTACGTATGCATTTAGCACTGTCATTTTCTGCTTCCCATTTGTCGGTATTCTTTTTTGTTATATTCTCCGTTTCACCATGTGATGTACGAAGTGTAAGACGAACTAATTCAAATCACAGCGAGTAACGAATCCGATGACGACGACGAGGCCGAAGGCTGGGTGATTTCGTCGGAATCCTGCGGATTCTTGAGCATCGGCGCGAGATACGTCCGCGAGGTGTTCCCCGGTGAGATAGTAGAACTGACCCGAGAGGGCATCAAGACCATCGACATAGTGGAGAGGCCGAACAAAAGACCGCAGGCCTTTTGCATATTCGAGTATGTTTACTTCGCGCGGAGCGATAGTATCTTTGAAGGTAAACGCAATGATAATCGGTAGGAAAACCGCCAGCTGCGAGAGTTGGCGGGTAAGGGCACACTCAGCGGAGTGTTGATTTTTCTGCGTTAGGACAAATGGTGTACTCGGTGCGTATGCAATGCGGACGAGTACTGGCGATGGAATCACCGGTGGAAGCTGACATCGTGAGCTCCGTGCCGGAATCGGGGACCGCGGCGGCACACGGCTACGCCAGACAGGTGAGTACCGAATTCGGAACTCAGGCAAACGCCTGGCCAGAGACAAACGAAAGAACAGTATTGCGCATGTAAATGTGCTGAATTTCACTCAAGTCCAGAGATGTGCGAATCGTTCGAATCGAATCACTGTTAATTCGATGCGAGTTCGGCTCGCATCTATCTTAACGGAATTGACCAATCGCATCAGTCAATTGGCTGAATTGGACCACTCTGAGCCTACGTGACTTATCGAAGTTCTCTTCTCTGCGTTGCAGTCGAAGATCAACTTCGCGGAGGTGCTCTGCAAGAACAGATACGTCGGACGAACGTTTATTCAGCCGAGCACACGGTTGCGCCAGCTCGGTGTGGCCAAGAAGTTTGGGGCTTTGTCGGAGAACGTGAAGGGGAAAAGAATCATCCTCGTAGACGACTCCATCGTCAGAGGGAACACGATCGGCCCGATCATCAAGTTACTACGCGACGCCGGCGCCAAAGAGGTGAGTTCCTCGCGCTTGCCTTAATAGCTGCGTTCGACAGAATTGATTTATTTTACAAATATTGGAAGTTTTCTGTGAAATTGGATTATTCCTCCACCATCTAAAAGAATAATCCAATCTCAGCCCAGAAAACTTTCAGCGGTTACAAAATAAACATTCTACTGAACGCGGCCAATTTCGTCGTGCCGTCGTATATTTTGGTTCTTGGATATACAATCGGCATTATATACATTGTACCATTCTTTAGGTCGAACATTTTACGCGATTTGCTTTTGACCTTGTGTGTTTATGTCTAAAGCCCGCTCCACACGATGTGGCAAATGTATTCGCCCAACATACGTGATGAATATAATCGCCAACGTTCGCCTACATTCGCCTGCATTTGTTACATTGTGTGAAACTAGCTTTACACATAAACACGCAAGGTCAAAACCATTATATTCAGAGCTATTATAACCGTCATTACAATTAGAGTTACTTATACGATCTTCAGTCTTGTGATTAATGTATGAGGCTGGAAATCGCGCAATCTTTCGTCCAGAGAATAGTATAGCACACATGACGACTGTACATAAAATTTCACGCACAAGATGTGCGTTGATGGAATCTTCCGTATGTTTAATCGTCGCTGTATTCACCCAGTAAGCAAGAAATCATTAACACAACGTTACCGTTGACGATATTTGACCGAAGCATGAAAAATAATGTTTCTACACCATAATTCTAATATTTAAAAATATAATATATCATGAAGTAACAGTTTAAAAACATTTTGAAAATATTATGTCAAAATGTTTGCAAAATCCAAGTAAAATCGATGTTCTAAAAGATCGATTTAATGTTTCTCGCTTACTATTATGATGACGCACTATTGTGACGACGATCGCCTTTTGCAGGTCCATGTTAGAATAGCGTCCCCACCGCTCAAGTATCCGTGTTACATGGGCATCAATATCCCGACGAGGGAGGAGCTGATCGCGAACAAGCTCGACAATGTAAAGCTAGCCAAGCACGTGGGGGCGAATAGTTTGACGTACCTCTCCGTGGAGGGGCTCGTCGAAGCGGTGAGGTATCGTATGGACAATCGCGAGAGCAACTACATCGGCCATTGCACCGCCTGCTTGACGGGAGAGTATCCTGACGAGTTCCCCGGCGACCTCGACTGGTGAAGCAGACGACATGTGACGTCGATTCTAGAAATAAACGAAACGCAACATGAACAGAACGTAATTCAGATAGGCAAACGGACGGACAGACTGAGAGGTTCATGTTACAGTGTGCTGCCACATCGGAATCTCGCAAAGCGCAATTCGTTGTTACTGTGTGTAAAAAATAAGCATTAAACTTAGATAAGTTAATGTACTGTCTTTTATATATATATATATATATATATATATATATATATATATATACAGACTACGCCTGGTTCATCAATGCAGTATTTCATAACATGTCGACTCTCTCTTTATACGCGCACGGGGGGGGAGGAGATACGGACTTTCGATCATGTGGTTACAGATATGTGCATGAAGCAAAAAGAAAGCAGAATAAATGGTTCTTCAAGGCTGACATAAATACGACGACGCAACAAAAAATATGATCAATTCCGTTCGTGATCTCTCTTCGTCGCTCTTTCAATTGGTTCGGTTTAATCGATCTCCAAATTAAAGTGACATCCGGATGTGCGACCAAGACAGCCGGAGACTCAGCAGCTTTGCATGCGATACAAATATTCATAGTACAAATGTATAAACTATCTCTATTTGAGCCATGTATCTATGAGCAATGGCAGGATAAAAGTGAGATACAGATAGAAAGGAGAAGCACAGCTTCTTTGAACAACAGTTACTAACTATACACTTTATTTTTCACAATGTGAAAACAGAATATAAATAATGCAGGTGAAATCTAATAAACTGATCAGGATCGTATAAAAAAAATATACCTACGACCATCGTTAGGAATGGGAATGTAAAATTATAATAAGGTTAAGACGGTGCAATCTCGATCACTTTTACTTTAAAACCACTAACTTACCAAGATTAGCGTAATATACAGACTTTACGGTGACTAGTGATAAGGATATTAATGAATAACGTAATTGCTTACTGTTTCAAATAAATAAAATTCTACTCCTACATTCTCATGTATCTTCTGATTCTTCCTTATTTTCAGACGTTCCAGGCGACACGTTTCCCCCAAGTTTCAAATCTGACGTGGTATCTTTGGATGCTTCTTCGTCTACAATTTTTTGCTTCTCCAAACATGCATTTAATTCTTTCAAATTCTCGTCGCGTAGTATATCCCAAAATTGTAGAGCTGTAACATGAAAAATTAATTTCAATTTGCTCACACAGTACATAAGCAGACAAGCAAACTCCATACCTTCTTCTTGATACTTCGGCGGTACCCCAGCTTGCGATAGCATGTCGATATTTGGAATACAATTATTGATTTCAGGATTGCCAAAGATCTCTGTTCTCGGTTTTGCAAAGACTCGTTGCATCTTCAACATCTTTCTGGTTTTGGCAAAATACTTGAGAGTCGGTACTTTGTCAAATATAGCGTCGTCCACATGCGGATCGTCGTCTTTCTCGAAGAACATGTACGTACCGACGGCATCCTCGTAAGTACCCTCGTAATACTAAAAATACAAAGCAAGAGGTCAATAATAAATAAACTGTAACTTACATTGCTACTGTGTCTTCCTTCAACATACCCGTCCATTGACCTGCATTAACGGGTGCTCTGTATCTATCCCTGTCATATCTAGTTGAAGATCTTCCTTAGTAAATGTGTTGCTGCCAACGAGATCCTCGAATTCCACGTACACGAGTATCTCTTCCTCGTCTTCGGGCAAATCATCGTCGGACTGCATCTTGGTTGTTTATCGTTACTGGTAACCTTCGCGATCGACGTATATTTTCACACACGTATCTTGCGTAAATGTCAGAAACAAGACGCGGTTACCGTAGAAACTGTAGTCTAGCGGAAGGAATAACGCACCAACCGAAAGCACGTAACGGCTACGTCCAAGAGGAAGCAGCCTTGCAATTGTAAAATTCGTGAATCTGAATGGCGTGTGCTGTGTCGTTATTGCGAAAGTTATAGCTTATTGAATTTCGCCTGTTTTTTATTACAATGGAAAGTACGTCTGACCAGCCCTTGAGTCATATTACTTGAGAAATAGAAGTACACCATCGTTTAGTCGTATCACGATCTCATTTTCTCGTTAAGTATAGTAGCGATTCGTAGCGGAGATTCTGGAACTGAATTACAGAAATAACGGGTCTGACGAGTTTACGAAATTATTAGACCCGTTATTTCTGTAATTCAGTTCCAGAATCTCCGCTACGAATCGCTACTATACTTAACGAGAAAATGAGGTCGTGATACGACTAAACGATGGTGTACTTCTATTTCGCAAGTAATATGACTCAAGGGCTGATCAGACGTACTTCCCATTGTAATAAAAAACATAGGCGAAATTCAATAAGCTATAACTTTCGTAAAAATAACGCTATGGAGATCGTTCAAGAAGCACTTTAAAGCTTGAAGTCTCTAGTTTTTAACCAAGTTAGCTATATTAACGTTGTCGTTAATTTTCGTCAAAATATTTCGAATTAAAGGAAAAATGTCGACCGCTCAATTTCAAACCTCGTCTCTCAGTTGAGTTTTCAGAGGGAAAAATTATTTGACTCAAAAATGTGATACTGATGTTTTATAGGGAAAACTAAACTTTTTTACGTATATTTTGTTAACGAATATGTCGTTACAACAAAATACGATGAAAAGTCGGCAAAGATTGGTCCAATTTTAGCGAATGATCGGTCACAGTGCGAGATGTAACGTCAACGTGGCCGCCAACGGTGACGTGTTCGTCGCGTACCACGTGGATACACACGCGTGAACACGTTGTCCCGTACTCTCCGTGGCGCACCGCCAGTGTGCGTTCGAATCGTCTTTCGTGAGTACTTTCGTTCCTCGCGTAGCGTAGCCTGCGTCTGATGAGTTGTCCGTCAAGCATCCGTCGTGTCTGCAGCAAGTGCGTCTTGACCGAAACCAGAACAAACGTACCGTCGTCGGCAGACACTTGGCACGTTTCCCAATAACGGGCGGCACCCATTCATCGAGCGGGAAAGGATCTTCTCGTGATTCGCGAGCGCGTCGAGATCGATTCTAAACCATGGTGAGCACAATTCGACCGACGAACATTTGACAATTACTCGAGACGATCGCTTCGTCTCCTCTACGTCATTTCTGACAGCTGATTTTCTCATTAACTCCTGCCCTTCTTTTTTTTTCTCTTTCTCTTTTTCGTGTTGAACAAAGCCTGCCGCACCTAGTGCCGCCTCCGTGGGCTCCGTTGGACGGTCGCCCAGCAAAGCGATAGCGCCGAGAACAGGTGGCAGCGGTACCGTTAGACAGAGGAAGACCGTGTCGGCGAACAGCTCGACGAGAAACAGGAGCACGGGCACGAGTTCCGGCGGCATGTGGAAATTCTACACGGACGATTCACCGGGTATCAAAGTGTAAGTAGAATTTCAAATTCCCGGTAACGTTGTTACGCGTTCCATATGTGTCCGTGCAGTCGTTGAGAGGCAACAAGTTTCTCGCAAATTGCATAAACTAGCAAAATGAGATTCCTATAAATTGTTGACGTATTTAGTCGTAATGCCCGCATATATTTAATTTGGATCAAACATTGCGATTGCAGAGGTCCTGTGCCAGTGCTCGTCATGTCTCTCTTATTCATTGCATCTGTGTTCATGCTTCATATTTGGGGCAAGTACACCCGCAACTAGAGTTAAATACGATGTGATTCAGGATGGGCGGCGAAAGAAAAACTGGAAAAACCAGATGGTAACTGGGCGATGCAACTTGTGAAGTGAATGACGCACCGATATTAAACTCAAATATGTACGTCTTGATATATATGTGTGATATAATTTCGAAGCACGTATCTTAAAGTGCGCGTGTACGTTACCGAGCATATGTGAATATGTATATCATCGTGAGAACCACTCATAAAAATCATTGCAAGTTAGAGGTATCATTACATGAATAGAAATATACTAAAGTTGCGAACAAGGTAGACTTGTAAGGGGGGAATACTTTTTTCTTTTATAATTCCACATTTATGTGTATCGTGTGAGAAAGTATGTGAAAGTATTTAATTTTATTGGAGGCTTGCGAAAGCTCGTCTGATCGTCAATAATTCCACTGACTCCGGAAATGAGTCATCTTGATCAGGCGAGTACCTGAAATATGGCGGAAAGGATAATGATGATAAATATTTGATGATGATGATGGAACATGGCATGTATCATTGTTGCTATCAGTGAAAGAAAGCCAGAAATTCTATTAACTTTTATAAGCCTCTAGTAATTCGCAATATTACTGTTACAAGATCGTTGAAGTAAATATGACTTATTTTTATCCTGTAAACTCAAATGTAATTTATTCTGTCTCTTGTCCTTTTGTCCTCTCATATCACCTGTTTGCTTTCTTCGTATCAATTTTCTTCTCTCACATTAAATATATTCTATTAATGGTGATCAAATAATTTTGATAATTGACAATCTATGTTTCTGGACAGTTATGTGCAAAGTTCCAACTTTGCAGATTTGGCGAAGGAAAATCTAATAACCTTCTTGAATACCATGAAAGATCTACTTTCTCTTTTCGAATCGAGAAAATGAAATAAACCTATTAGAAATTTTGTAAAAAAAATTAGACACTCTGTGCTAAGTTCTCATGTTGTCAAGGGCCAGGTGCATTTACAGTTTTTTTATGTCGTCCAATTGGTAAATTTATCCACTTTAATTTGTATTAAGCGTCTTACGTGATGTAATCACAACACGTGAAATATTCTCTTTACCGAGGAGGGCGAACGATAATCCGTTAATGAGTAATTAAAATTGACGCGATTAAATTAAACACGTCTACATAATACCCTAGTAATCTTTTAAGCAGGCATTAAGCAAAATATCGTTACGATGATTCGACGTGAGCTTCTTTGTCGACAAACCGTTGTTCGTCGTTCGCTTTGCATAGGAGAACTCGTTTTTATCAGGGAACTATATAAATCGCGAATATGTAAATCGACGCTTCTGCGAGGAGCTTTCCGTACTGTATCTCTAACGGGGCATCTCCGGCGAGGCGCCGGCGCATATAATATTGATTCCCAGCTCGATGAGCTGAATTTCAATGCGACACTCCCGGACGAAACGACATGGCGCGAGGTGGACGCGAGGATACACCGCGACAAACACGCATCAAACGAGCAGTTAAATTGGGATTCAAGCGGAAATCGCACGTCTACATCGAATGCCGTGCGAGGGTGGAAGAGGAAATGACATGTCAGGCGGGGAAAAGGACAAGTCGAAGGTGGGAGGAAAAATAAGGGTTGATCAGGAGGAGACGAAGGGAAAGAACGAGTATGTTATTTAGCAGGAAACACATGTCGACACAAGTCCAGTTGTATCATCACATGCCCTTATTTCGCAAAGAAAAGGTTGATAATAGATGATAAATTAGACTCGATATCGATTTGTGTCTTTTGTTTTGGAAGCAATATCATTATTAATTCTATTCTACTGTAATTTCGATCCCGGATGAAAGAGGGAAGTACCGATCTGTACGAAAGACTCCATGCAAATTAAGGCACAATGTAACAATTTTGTCTTCGTTAATGAAGTATCGATTAAGGTAAAGGTATCAAGGGCCTGGACACGTCTCCAATTGTGGACGTCTTTGTCGATTTTTGGTTTCTAAATACGAACGTTTGATCTTTCAACACAAAATACCCGTGTAAATCCAATACACGCGAAATTTGCTTGAATATTCATATTTAAAACCCAAGAACAACAAGAATGAGTAGTCCAGAGCCAGGTGCGTGTCCAGGTATCGGTACCTTTGCCTCAAGTGAAAGAAAGAACCCCCGCCGAGAAGCGCATGGCAGGACTTCCAGTCCGCTCGGCACGCGCGGCTTAGCGGCGTCCCCAGGATGATGTCAAAGTCGGTCTTCCTGAGGAGGTTCCCCCGAGGTTCCCCGAGCAGAGCGAAGATGAAGAGGAGGAGGGACAACGTGTGCGCGCATCGCGGGAGGTGCCGCGGCGGCGGAGGGCGAGGGGGAGCGCGCGATTCCGCAGCGGACGCGGAGGGAGAACGAAAGGGCGGAGGAGGTGAAGAAGAAGCATCAGCAGCAGCGCGTCTCTCGCGATCGACGAGCGGCAGAGCGCGTGCGGGGGTGCGAGCGTCCGCGGAGGAGCGACTCGCACACGTGATCTCCCGTGCGAGAGTGCGCGATCTTCCTCCGGTGTACGCACACACGGCACTTCTCACGTGCGCCTTCTCCTCGTCCTCTCCTCGCGCGCCTCTCGCCGTCGGCGAGCCGAGCGAGGCGAAGCGGAGCGTCGTCGTCGTCGGGGCGGGACGAGGCAACGTGCGCCCAAGGACTTCATTCACGACGATGCGGCTCGCCCCGAGAGAGGTAAAAGCTTCCCTCTGCTCTTCTTTCTCTTTCTCTGCCTCTCTCTCTCTCTCTCTCTCTCTCTTACTCTCTTCTCTTCTCCCCTCGTGAATGCGAGCCCAGTCGCGCGCGCATTCGCGCTCTCGACGCGGTGGAGGCGCGTAGACGATAGCACGGGCGAGGACCTCTCGGGGGATCCCCGGCTTTTCTCGAATTGTGTAAACGGGCCTGTGCGCGCTGTGTGTGATCCGCGTAAAAATTCGCCGGATCGGCACTCTCGTATAAGAGAGAGAGAGAGAGAGAGAGACCTCGAGGTTGCGGGTTCGGCGGGCTCGACTCGAGAAGAAGAAGAAGCGGATGAGGAGCGAGCCACGGGCGATATTAATCGTTACGCAACGATTCAATAACTCAAGCCAGGCTTACGAGTACTCAAGGGCTAAGGGTGTTCGACACGGCGCTTACCTTCGTTTTATGCGCGTGATCATCTTCACGAAGTGCTCGTTTGGTCGCTCCCCAACACCCCACACTGAACACTCTCTCTCTCTCTCTCTCTCTCTCTCTCTCTCTCTCTCTCTCCAGTGTAATAAAGGTAGAATTACCGCGTGCGCTCTCACACTCACTCTCACACTCCGCGGATCTATATCCTGTGTCGTTTCGCAAGAGAGAGAGAGAGAGAGAGGTGGGAGGGAGAGGGAGAGCAGCTGCTCGAGGTAATTTCAAATTTGTAAACTGCTCACGCTGGACCGTTCTCAAATTATGCAAAATCTTGCTGCCAAATACGCGACAGCGCTCTCTCTCTCGCTCTTTCCCTCTCTCTTTTTCTCACTCTCTATCTCTCTTTCTCTCTATCTGTCTCTCTATATCGGAGATACGTTTCGATATCATTTCGTCTTCATCGATGCATTACGTAATCCCGCGTAATCGATCGGTGCGTGCATCATCGGGGAGGAATCGATCATGAAGGCATCGTCGAGGCGAGATCAGAGACGCGCGGGAGATTCGGCGCGAAACGCGGGCGCATATCATCATCGACGCGATACGCCCGTCGTCGTCGGGTTCTCCGCAATGCGGAAGTGCGAAGACTGCAACTGGGAGTTAATATACGGCGAACCGCCGTTATTTATTCCCGGAGCGATCGGCTGAGATTAATTCGACGGCGGCACGGAGTCGCATCGATCATGCTCGTCACGCCTTCGGCCCGTCGATATTCTCGCGCGTGATTCGCGCGGAAAATTCGCGCGAGGCAACGTTTTCACTCGGGTTTCCCGGCGTCTCTCACGATATCGTTAATCTCTNTCTCTCTCTCTCTCTCTCTCTCTCTCTCTCTCTCTCTCTCTCTCTCTCTCTCTCTCCCTCGGCCCGAGTTTTTCTCGGAGCGAATGCTTATTCGCGCGACGGAATCGCGGAAATAGCGTCGTACGGAAAATCACAGGAGCGAATGCTTCGATCAAACTTAGGGTCGACTTTTTCGTGAGATTTCTGATTAAGTTGATCGACAATTTAAAATCGCTGTCTGTTTCAACTATTATCTGCTCCATACTGATACGAAGGTAGAAATTATTAACTCTTCGATTATCGTTAAAGGAAATTACACAATTGAAAATTCGTGTATCGGCGATTTTTCTCAGTGGCTTAATCAGAGTTTGGTGAAAATCATGTCGAGGGTGGAATCTTAATTCGCTCTGAGTTCGAGTAACCTGCATAAATTAAGAATTCACCTCGAGTTTGGGTGAAACATTTACCCGACCTGCCGCCCGTGTCGGAGCCTTCACCCGGGGACATTTCACGGGGATCTCGCCTAATCGCAACGGCACGAACGCGTTTCAGAGCTCGAGGTAATCAGTCGCGTCCCGAGGGCGATTGGCGATTATTCCGCGGCCATGGCGGTCGATATTCTGGACGAGGATCACCTCGCCGTGAGCGCGATCGTCACGGTCGGCATGCAGCTGATCTTCTTCACGATCGCCGCGACCTTCCAACTGGACAAGTTGACGGACTTCGCCGGCGGCACCAACTTCATCATTCTCGCCCTCCTCACTTTCTTTCTCGGTCAAGTGGGCAAGGTACTCTAATATTATAAACCGGCTCTGCTCTATCTTTCTCTCTCTTTCTCTCTCGCTCGCTTCTCAGCCGCGCACGTGTGACGCACGTGTGTGCATGCACATAGCGGTGCGCCTATAAGATAAAATCCCGAGAGGATCGGATACGCTCGGGATTTTATTTGCGGATCGTGAAGGGACCGAGGAGTCGTGAGGAGGATTATAAATAAGACGGAAGGATCGCGTTTGATTCCCATGAATGGACGAGGCGCTCGTTTTATCCGGCACACGCGACCCTCAACACGTGGACCACTGCAGGCCTATTCTGTAACTTCCAACCACAACGTCGTTATCGTTGCGTCGTCGACGAGTAGCTTGCCTGCCTGCTACATGTTGTACAACCTGCGCAACAACAACGCGCGCAGTGATTTGAAAGTAAAGATTTTTCGCCGAAACTCTGGATCCTGATAAAATTGATTTCTTTTTGCACACAAAGAACGCCTCTAAAGAAGAAACGTAACTGTTTGTAAGAGATTCAGCATTTATCTTAACTTTGCTTTTTTGACGAGATAAATGCAAAATAACTCCATAATTGTAGTGCTGATCGTTAGGGCTGAGCCCTGTAGAGAGATTAATCCATCAGCACTGATACCTCCTTGCGTCCTTCCTCCTACGCTAGACGTACGACAGCCGGCAGGTCATGGTGACCGTGTTCGTGTGCGTGTGGGGCGTGCGGCTGTCCGGGTATCTCCTGTACAGGATCGTCAAGATAGGTCGCGACAAGAGATTCGACGATCGGCGCAGCAACGTCATCCGCTTCGCCGTGTTCTGGACGTTCCAGGTGAGACGATCTGCGAAACGTGGATCAAAAATCACCGGTAATATGTATGACGACCCGACGATGATTTATTTGCCGATCCGTTTCCTACGAGAGTGCGATAGATACCGAAGTGACTCGATGGTTTCGCAGGCCGTGTGGGTGTACGTCGTCAGTCTGCCTGTGATAATTATTAATTCTCCGCGTCACAAGATACCGCCCGCCCCGAAGACCATGACGACGCTGGACAGCGCCGGCACGGGGATGTTCGTGATCGGCTTCCTGGCCGAGACCTACGCCGATCTGCAGAAGTTCGCTTTCAAGCAGGACCCGGTGAACAACGGGAAGTGGTGCAACGACGGTAGGGCGAGTCGCTCGGCGACTACCCCCGGAAAAAATTGATGATTATATATGATTATATGATGATTATATATGATTATAATTATACATTTAACATATAATTATACATATAATTATATAAAATCATACGCGAATTTTGCCCATACATGTGGGTTACATGTATGATCATATATGTCCATACGAAAAAGAAATGATGTTACATCATTTAATTAAATGTCGATATCATGTGCATATAACATGTAAACAACAGTATTTTTTAGTTGTGGACATAAATTAATATATATATATATATATAGTCATATATGGGCAAATTTCATACATGATCTTTCTATTCCCGGGTCGTTTCCATTTAATATCTCTATAAATAGTCCATAAAATTATTCCTATTTCAGTTATTAAAACTGTCGCTCGGATTGAGCGTAAAGTGGCAGTCTAAGTGTCAAAATAGATAATTTAAAGGATTAAAAGAAGATATAAATATTGACTCTACACAGAGAGAGAAATAAAACATTTTGCGTACTTGAAGAAAAATAATTCTACGTTTACATATATAATGCGACCCGCGAATAACCAAACTAGAGTTAAATTACATCATACATGCCGCTTAGAGCGCTCCTTCGGCACTTCCAGGACTCTGGAGACTGTCGCGCCACCCGAATTACTTTGGCGAAATCGTCGTCTGGTGGGGAATCTTCGTGATATCCTTGAACGTGATTGAGGGCGCGGAATGGGTGGCTATCGCCTCGCCGATCTTCACCACGTTTATCATCTTATTCCTGTCGGGCATGCCGTTGTTGGAGAAAGCGTCGGACGAGAGATACCGGGAGTGAGTATATCGCGGGGAATCACATCGCGCAGGGAGGGAGGGAGTTCGCGCCGGTGAAAGATGCGAATTTCGATATGTGCTCCCTCGCAAAGTGAAATTAAAGTGAGCTCCTGCTCGCGAGTGAAATCTCATTCAAAAAGTAAAATAATCACCGGAGTCACTTGAACTCTCGAGTGAAATCTCCCTCAACGATGCACGTATCCGCTGTCTCAACGTTCAAAATGGGCTGATCGAGCTAGCGTTGAGATGAAACTGTTTTAATTTCCACTCGGGGCTTTTCCAGCAACGCGGAGTACCGCTATTACAAGCAGTCGACGTCGCCGCTGATCCCGATACCGCCGTCGATCTACGTGGAGGTGCCGCGATTCCTCAAGTTCATCCTGTGCTGCGAGTTCCCGCTGTACGACTCCCTGGACGCGAAGCCGCGCTCGGCCGTCACCGAGTCGACGTCCATCAGCTTGGCAGCGTCCACGTAGCTGTAACCACACGCCGGACGACCGAATTCAGAGTCCGGCGTGCACACGACGACCACAACCACGGCCAGTACCGCCTTCTGAGCGCGCCTTCCGCCGCTTTTTTTGGCGCGACAACTCCTCCCCCCCGTCTTGTCTGTCCTTTCCGAACAACTACTATGCTATGATCCTGACATGGCCGATTCGCGATCCTTCCACGGACACACGTTTCCCTCTCATGGCGTCGGCATTATATTATACGGGGTGTCGCGGCGCGAGCGTGTTCAAATGAGCGCTACCGAGTCACTTGTGGCATTGTGGACGGACACCGTTCGCGAAGCGGGTCCTTCTCTTCAGGATAGAACGGATCACCGAGGCGAAGTATTATTTTTGTAAGTCCTGAAAGTCCCCGCCGCGCGCGACGGCCGTTGAGAGCGAGCGAGCGGTGACTTCTTCACGGTGACTTCTCATGCAGGACAGGAGTGCAGATACGAGAGAAAGAAAGAAATAGGAGGAGGAAGGGAAGAGGAGGAGAAGGAGGAGAGAAAAATTATTTTTGTAGCGATGTTGTACGAATATCGATTGTAAAAGTTGGCCCGTTGACCAATTCGAGCGTCCCTCCTGCACGACGAAGTCGCCGGGATGGCAATCTGATCTCTACGCGCGTATTTGAATTATTCTTTTAACAATGCAGAATCGACTAGCTTGAGACGAGATGTACTTCGTGTTCGAAGTGGCGAATTCGGATTCCGAGGCGCCAAGGCGTGTCGCTCTGTGTATTCTGGGCGCTCAGCCGCCGGTTGGAGAACCAACGATACGAGGATACGCAGTCGGCGGTTTAAAGATCGAGGCGCTCTTTCTCCGACGAGTTTCGCAGCCCGCCACTTCTGCCTGGGTCTGTTCTTTGTCGGTGAACTAGTGCACACTTTCGGAACTTAAAGATAAACAAATATATAGTTGTAACTTTGTGTAAAAAAAAAGAGAAAAGTAGAACTAGCGCAAACTAGTGCAGCTGGTTCATCTATAAAGAATAGATCATATGTGAGGAAACGCTTAGCGAAACTTGCTCGAAAAAGTGTTGCAACATTTAACCCGCCGACTGTGCGCGCACGATGCTCTAAAAGCGATCTTCGCTGACGCGGATTAGGCTGTCATTCGTTTTTCACGTTTGTTGTTGACTAACAAGAGAAAAGTCTATCTATCTTAAATAACGCATGAACAAAATCGAAATCTAATCGAGCTTCGAGCTCGTTAGCTACGATACCGGGAATAAAGAGCAACGACAGTTCGCGTTCTTAACTTAATTGACTTCGTTAATTGATAGCGACAAAGTTCTAAAGTCGGCATGGATTATAACGAACGATCTGACGATTGACACTGTGCGGATTCGTTGTAAGTCAAACGATTGGCCGAAGGAAAGACAGTATTCCGATTCTCGCCGAAGTACGGAGCGAGTAAGAAACAATGTACATCGCAGCAGGAGCGAGAGCGAATGCAACCGAAATCTCATCGCGTTACGATTGCTGCTCGTTCCGTTAGCGCGTCACATAGGACGCTTTTACGAGGTAGACGTGTTTAGATGCGACGCACCGATACAACGGTGACGTCTACCATCGCGGGGAAAAAAATCATACATCAAATTTGCTCATATATGACTATAATATATAATCCGTGTATGTCTGCAACGGGAAAATACCGTTACAAAACAATCGAAGTAAATGCTTCCGGCTACTTGTGCTTCTGACAGCACATGACATTTAATTAAATGACATAACATCATCTTTTTTCGTATGGATATATATGATCATATATGTAACCACATATATGGGCAAAATTCATATATGATTTTATATAATTATATATAATTATTTTTCCCCCGGGATGTGCCTTCGCAAGATGGTAGAGCCACGTTACTGTCGTTTCTTCACCGATCTTTTTCTCTCTCTCTTTCACGCATCCGGCCCAACGTCGATCGAATCATCGACGTGCTGCTTTCATCACAATTAGGCATGCCCATTAGGAGAAATTAGAAGTAAATGAGACTTAGTAACACATGAAATTAGCGAGAAAAAGTCGGGCCGTGATTGTCGTGAACACGTAGACGTAAAAACACAAAAAAAAGGGAGAGAAAACGCGGCAATCTTCACCTTGTCGAAACGAAGCGGCGTGTTTCAACAATGTGTAGAGAGCGCGAATGAGCTCTCGTCCAATCTCTAGGAAGATTCGAGATGACGGGTGTGTCCCGTTCTTATTGAAAATCGAGAGAGCTTTCAATCGTATTATTGAGATCTTAGCAATATTAATAAACATATCTGTGCCGAGAATAGAACACGTCCTGATAAGAGATACGAGACAAAGATAAAAAGTACATAAATTACGAGAGAAATCGACGATGAGCGGAACGCACACTTGGAGTAATAACGCAGACGAGCGACGCGATGAGCGAGACGGATCTCCCTCGGGGATCGACGATCTAAAAGATGTTACTTCTCCATTTCTTCACTGTTATTGTAAGTCTTCAAAGTTTAGATAATAAAGAACGATCGACTCCTTTAATGGTTGTGCATTTTCATTTCGAATACGTCGGACGATACACACGATAATATCGAACGCAAGTCACACTCTGACAATGTCTCTCCTCTTTCTCTCTCTCTCTCTCTCTCTCTCTCTCTCTTTCTCTCGGGTGCGACGCGGCGGAGGTCGAACGGTGGATCGCACAATGAACGCTTTAACAAATCCCATAAAGTTCGCTTTATATTTATAAACACATTTTATTTGTTCGTATGTATATCGTTAATAAATGGTGATATAATAATGACAATGAAATGTATAGCGCCGAGGATAAATTCATCATATTATAATAATTATTAATATTCCTCTTACAATAATCTTACTGTATTGGGTGTCTACCTACTGTGCTTGCAACGTTATGGTCTTGTCCGAATGTTTATTTTTTTCTTCTCTCTCTCACCATTCATCTAGTTTAATATTATTTTACTCGTACGTAATAATCCATAATAATGTAACCACAGGTGTATGTGTGTGTGTGTGTGTGTGTGTATGAGTATGTGTGTTGTGTGTGAAAACATATTTGCGCCGTCCTAAGTATAAACAGCATCGTCCGCTAATCCTTTCTTCCTTCTTTTTCTTTTTTTTCCGTGTTTACCGTTTTTTCTTTACGTGATTCATAATCGTTATCAATAATATAGTAAGCTACTTAAATGTAATATATCTTGTGTCTTCGTGGAATATGTTTCAGCTGCCGTGCGCAGCGTCGTAGAAAAACTTCAATTCCCGTTATACATCAAATGTCGATTTTCGATGCATGAAAGACACTTTGTATTACACGCAAGGTAATTTTTTTTTTCTTTTTCCTTGAACGTCCGAAAAATTCGTATTCAATAAAATACTTGGGCAGCACAGCGTTCCGAGAGAGTACCAAGAGAAAAAAGAGATCAAAAAATTACCTGTGCCTCTCCTCGCTGGAAAAAAGAAACGTCGAGGGGGGTAGACAGAGCAAAGGGATCGCGGGTGGTGGAAGGTAGAGGGGGGGACGGGAGAGGAACGGGGAACTGGAAGGAGGGGGAAGAGGACAGAGGGTGAAATATTTTACGACTCTCCACTATACACGATGGCATCATCATCCTCGCGCGTATCTAAATCCGACTGCATTCGTCTCTACGTAATACACATATCTATAATATACAAATAATAGTAATAATATATGCCTGTCCATCGCTTATCGCGGTTTCTATTACACCGACTCGTCGTCTAAAATATCGCCGAGAGGGGACGATCGCGAAAGAGCGTTTTTCCCGTCGTTTCGTATAAAATACACACACAGGAATGAGTGGTCATTAAAAGTAAAATTGATTGCGCGATCGATGATGGTGCGCGCCGGCCGGTCAATGCGGAACGGAATCGCGCGGCCCGAGAGCGGAAGGAGCGAGAGCTACATATCCCGCGCGCGCCGCCGGTTCCATTATTCGCATTCCGCCGCGCGCGTTTTCAGACTGCCCGAGGACATATCCGTTTGCTAGCTGGTCGATTGGCGTGACTCGAGTCCCGATTTTACTAAAAAGAACACGAGAGAAGTAGATTCAGTCGATCGATCGACGACCTGACACCTCTATTTTTTTTTCGCGTGCGCGGACATCGGACGTGCCGTTCTTTCTTTCTTTCCTTCCCTCTTTCCTTCCTTCCTTTCTTCCTTCCTTCCTTCCTTCCTTCCTTCCTTCCTTCTTTCTTTCTTTCTTTCTTTCTTTCTTTTTCTTTTCCTTTTCTCCTCACTATCACTATTACAGTTAACATTAGCATTTTACTTTATTGTTGTAAATTCTTATTAATATTATAATTATATTTAATATTAACGTGTTACTTTTATTAGTATTATCGATAATGAAAGTATCGGGTCGCGTCGATGGACCGGCTACGTGACACGCATGATACACCTTTCTCTTCCGACGATCTTTTTTTTTCGATTAAGACAGCCTCTCAATGATATATATCGTGTAAAATCTTATTATGCTACAAAATCTTTCGAAAAACTCCATCCAACGCGATGATGAGCGAAAGTAAAACGCGCGATACACGTATGAACGTGAGACGAAAAAAAAAATAATAAACGCAAACTAAATCAAAAGAGAAGAAGTCGCGTTACACATTGCGGCGGCGGGGGGTTGCGCGCAAGGTAACTTTTGCACAGCAAGAATTATCGAGAGAAGCGAGGAGAGCGGTAGAGGACGCGCTCTCTCTTCTCGCCCGGTAGATGGGGACCGACCGGTGCGCCGTCGCGGGCGAGACCCTACCCCTCGCTTCTTCCTTTTCGAACTTCCTCATCCGTAACTACTTGTATCTTATAGCGTAAATTGCATTTGGCCACCGTCGATAAAGACCCCAGCTGCTGCGTTCAGACTCTATTGCAGTTCGTATATTGCAATCCTACGTTTCTAATGACTTGTGTGTGAAATAGCCCTGTTTTTCGTTTGTTTCCTTAGAGCAGAGAAAAGGGCGTGGAATAGAGAATAAGTCGCTCCAGTCGTGTGTGTTTCGAGTGTCAATATGAAATAACGCACGCGTGGCGCGTTTCTGAACGTATATAAACGAAGTATTAACATTATACATGAGTCTATTAATATCTATACGTATAAGTAGAGAGCTTTAGTCCTGAACCTCATCTCTCTCTCTCTCTCTCTCTCTCTCTCTCTCTCTCTCTCTCTCTCTCTCTCTCTCTCCCTTTTTCTGTCTTCCTCTCTTTCTTTCTTTCTCTTGCACACGCACAAGCATACACCATGCATACGCAGATTCTCTCTGTCTCCGTCTCCCCCTTTCTCCCTCTCAGTCTCTCTCTTTCTCTCTTTCTTTATCTTTCATTCTCGCACATACGCTATCCATCACTTCCGGCAACTCCCTTCCCTCGTCACCATATACGCGCACTCTCTCTCTCTCTCTCTCTCTCTCTCTTTCTCTCTCTACATCACGTTCTCTCTCGTCTCTCCGCAATCGTCACATTCACGCAACCACACATGCTCACACTTTCACGCATATATTCACGCACACTTCTTGCCATGATCATCAACCGCCTCCCTCTCTCTTTCTCTCTTTCTCTCTCTCTCTCTCTTTCTCTCGTTATATCTTTATTTATTCACCATCGCACACCTTCGCGGCTTCGTTTTTAAATCGCCTTGAAAACGACTTATTACTTCCCTTTGCAACGAGACCGCTTATTTGCCGTCCTTCTCTTTTTCTTTGTTTTCATCGACCTCCTTGTCCTTCTCCACCTCCTTCTCCTCCTTGTCCGCCTTCTCCTTGTCTCCTTCCTTCTCCTCCTTGGACTCCTTGGACTCCTTCGCCTCCTCCTTGCCCTCCTTTTCCTCTTGCTTCTCGGGCTTGGGCAGATGCGTGTTCATGTCCAAGCTGGAGCAGATCTCGTCCCAATCCGGGAAGCATCGTTCCTTGACGCGCGAGCAGTGACCAACCAAGTTAGGACAGTTCTCCTGCATGTAGTCTCGCAGGCTGTAGGGCGTGTCTTTGTCGATATAGAGGATCTGAGCGAGATGCGCAAACGCTACTACGTCCATCTGCACAAATCAGCGAGAAATCAGCGTTGTGAGACGAGACCACTTGAACACATCGTCCGTACATAATCTATTCCTGTCGATCTCTCGCGTTGGAGCGACACTGCCGACGAAGGGAAACTAAAATCGACGGAGGAACGAGCAGCACCGCAACGAGCATGTTTTGCAATTCGCATTTCACGGATTCCGCGCTCGTCTCGCGATGAATGAGTAGTTTGTTTTCGGCATCCCGAGTAAAAAAATGTCAGGGAAAAACTAGCCACTAGACAGAAACTGGACAGTTTTTACTGGGTTGAATTAATTAGATAGTAATTGTTCAGAAGTTGTCCAAAAAATACTGACTATTATTTCTTGGGCCAGTTACTTGCCACCAAGTATTCCAAAAAAAGAAAATAGTAAGTTAATACTAAGCAATTTCAATTTCCAGCAAAAACTTAAAATTCCGGCTTAAAATGTTCTTTGGCCATTTCCTGGCCAGAAACCAAGCAAGATAATAAACAAACGAAATGCTCAAATCTTATTAGGAACTCGTCGGAAACTGGCTAGTTTCATTATTCAGTTATTGTCGAGGCAAAAGTCTCCCAAACTTGTAAGTTTTCGCCGGTAAAACTGATCAGGAACTAGCTAGTCAGAGAATTACCGGCCAGTTACTGGTTGGAAACTGGTTGAATTTCTACTTGGCCCGTTTTCGAATTCGGAAATTCGATCCTCCGAAATTTCAACGCTCGTCCGATCGAAACGCCGATAACCGTTAATTATCGTTCGTCCGAGGCCAAACGTAGCTTCTTCGCGACGAAGCCCAACACGACGAGGGAGTACCGTTTCGCCCGCAGACGGCAACTGTACACTAACTGGCTCACCGATGCTATCATCGGTGTCGAGTTACAAGTGTCTGAGGCTATTATTTACACAAGAGGCGAAATGTATCGTACTCGTACGTTACTTCGCACGCTCACGGGGGCGAATGCGAGATGGCTTACGAATTCGCGATACGGATGAAAGACGCGTATCAACATAGATTTAAAACGGCACACTTACGGTGGTCGGTTCGTCCCCGAAGAAAAAGGGTTTGTCGGCGAGCGTGTCCGATAGCACCTTGAGGTCGGTACAGCCGAACTGGGACACCTCCTCCGGACTGTGCACGCCCATTCCCTGAGCCTTCACTTTCCTTGCACCCTGTAACCAATCCACCTACATTTCACTACAAACGGTCACAATGCTTTGTTCTCTGCTCGCGTTTCGTTGCTTTGTATTGCACACTACCTCAGCTACCACATTCATAGACATCTACACACAAGGCACAAGCGCAGCGGCTTGCACTCTAAGCGAATATACTATGAATGATTCAAGGGATAGCGTGATAGTAACAATGTGATAACGAGCTGTGATAACGATTGAGTGGAGCCAAAAACTTGGTCGAAGTTAAAAATACCCCGAATTCGAAATGCCGGGATACCGATCGGTCGATCTGTCGATCCATGTCGTTAGCGCGTCCCGAGGCGAGCTTCAGCTCAATTGCAACGCGACTTTGACGAGCTTGCACTTCGCACACAGTCATCTTTATATTCCATATTATTGTAACGCTTGAACGTGAAGAAGCTGCGAACAAAACGCGTTTTTAAACGAAACCGTAGCACCTCGACCAGGATTCAGTCGCGAATGAAAATGATCGTTCCGTAATGCGAAGGCTGATTATCGGGCTCTGAGAGAAATGGAAGTATGTACAATGACGAGATTGCAGAGATTTACAGCATTTGCTTGAAATGTACATACACATGCGTGTAAATTCGAAGAAAATCGAAGTATGAGAAGATCGAGGGGAAGAGAAACTTTGTCACATCAGTATAGATTATCGTAACGATTATTATAATTATGGAAATAATGTGGAATATAATCATGGAGATGCGTGAACGAGATACGTAGAGGCATGAGCGTAATCTGTGTTACGGTGAAAAACGACCGGAGACCGTGAAAAAAGGTCAACCTACCTCAGATGGTACAAATATGAATTTTCTGTTTGTTCGATTTTCTTAAACATTTCTAAAAAAAATTCACTTTTTGTCAGTCGTTATCTATACATGTCAATAGTTAAAAACTAACAATATTTTATTTTACCTTTCTTTTAAATGAATTAAGTTTTTTACATTATTAATACATTCGACTAAAAATGCAGTATGAACTTTACTGAAAACAGTAGTTTTTATTTCAGGATCCTATCACTTTCTGAGATATTTACATCTGTGTGAACTCGAAAACCGTCATATTTTCAGGTGATCGCCATTTTTAAAAGGAAGCGAATAAAATAAAACGTTGATAATTTTGTACTATTGACATACGAAAGTAGAGCAACTGCCGAAAAATGAGATTTAAAAAATTGGATGAGCAACCTGCGTTGTACCATTTGAGATGGATTGACCCCGGAACGAGTGAACTGATCGTCCAAGTTGTGGGTCACATCGAAATCACATCGAAATCGCGGCGAACGCCAAGCGAAACTTACCTTGCGTCCGAACGTGAGCTTGAAGAAGAAGTTGAGAATAGCATTGGGAATACGTGATCCCAGGGCGAGCTGAAGATTGACCTTGTAGCCCTTGAGGACCTGGTCGAGATTTTTCGTGCGCCAGCACGCGACCACCCAGACCAGATGATTCTCAATCATCGATATCATGGCGTGAGAGACGCTGCGTTGCTCGGACGTGAGACCGGCGTCCAGGTCCTTGCCAAACTTCTGACTCAGCTCCCGCAGGATGATCGTGCTGTCAGCGATCTCCTCGCCATTCAACTCAACGAACGGCAACTGGCCCTTCTTGGAGCGGAACTTCATCTTGTGATCAACATTCTGTAACGAGCGAATCGCATTTGTCGGTCATCTTCAAGCCACATCGTACGAAAAGGTAACTTATTCTCTATATTAGATTTCTTTTTTCAAATTAAAAAATCTCGGTCCGTCCATGATTCTGAAGTTCGAAATTCAAATTTCTTTCCATCGATAATGCGACGTCCAGCAAAGCTGAACTAACTGAACCGCGATATCCCACATGACGCCTAACGCGATCTCCTTTGAACAAATAAATCGCCGCACGCGATAAATAATATCGCATTGATACAGGCGGACATGTATGCTCTCGCACAGCAGAGCACATGCTCTATTTATAGATACATGCACACCACGTTAAACGCATAAGTGGGATATCGTGGCTTTCACAGGTGAATCAGCTTATTATATGTAATCTGCGAACGCGTCACGCGCTGATGTACTGGGTGTCTTGATTCAGCGGCCCGCTACATGACCGACTCGGCCAATTCTTCGGTCAAAAATCTCACCGAAGGACCAAAATCGTCCGGGGTGAATATCTTTCGTTCACAATAACCTAAGAAGGATAGCCTGATGGGAAATGCATCTTCCGAAGCTTATATTTCTAATTTCGCAACGGTACTGACGATATAATTAAAAGTCACGTGAAGGGACGTACAAGCAACGTCGTATTAAAAAAAAAAAAAAGCACGAGCGTCGTTAAACTTGCGAACCGGGGATTTCTCCGTGATTCTTAAGTAGTAGCGTGCCTTCTTGCCTGCGCAATTTACTATGTGGATCAAGTGCTCGGTGTTCGTGAGAGATGGAGAGCATCAGCGGCGGCGGCGGCGTCGTCGGCGAGCCAAACGAGGGAGAAGCAGCAATTCTACCGAACGCTAATGCGCTGCAAACGGAAAAACGAAGAGAGGGGCCCGTCGACAAACCGATGGAATTAACGAGGACAGGAGGTAAATCGTGTGGAAGTTCGCGCCGGTGCGTAGGAAGAGGAAGATACGGTGCGGGAGTTTAAGACGCGCACGCGACTCGAGGAAGGAGAGAGAGACGCGCGACAAAACGAGTCGGAAGAGCGAACTTGAAACGGGCGCAAGAGGAGAGCGCACGGACACGATGCGGAGCCAATTACGGAGCTGAAACGCAAATAACGAAAGAAAAAAAATGAAAAGAAAAAAGAAAAAAAATTCGAACCACGATGTGTAAAATTCAAGCGAGTTGCGAAACGAAAGAGAGAGAGGGGGAGAGAGTAACACGTCACATGTTAAAGGCATTGCTCGGGGGATCGCCGACACGGGGAAAACAATGATGCAACGGGAGGAGAAGGACAGATCCCATTGCTCCAGTTTTAACCCTTCGGTCGAGTGTGACGGCGAGATCGATGAGAGAGGGCTGGTATAGATGTGTAATACGCGCGTGTCAGGCTAGTTACACAGTAACAGGGGCCCGGTCAGCCAGTCGAAGGCGCTAACGCGCCTCTATCTCTGCCCAAATGAGTCATCTTTCTTCCCGGGGGAGGGTTCTTTATCTCTGTTTGCCCTTTTAATAACACGTTCGTTTCCTCGAATTTTCCCAATTCTCACTCGACGACGAGGGTACCTATCGTTTTTTCCAGTCGAATTTAACTAGCATTACGTACGTACATACGTGTGCTGCGTTTTCTTTTTGTATATATATATTTTTTAATAAATACGTGTGTAATATTGTACATTTTTCTCTTCTTTTTTATACACATCGCGGGGTTTAGAAGCGTACACTGAAAACAAAATTGTTATTTTCGAGTGAATATTTATCAAGGAATATTGCAACAATTTATTTCATTCGGATTAAGTAAATATTAACTTGAATGTAGTGCACTGGAAGTGATATTCAAGTGATATTTACTTAATCCAAATAAAATAAATTACTATAATACTTCGTAGCAAATATTTACTTGAACATAGCAATTTATCTTTTCAGCATACTTTTGCCCCGCCCTTTACGTGCTATTTTACCGCAAATGCACCGCCACTCACGCATAATAAAGTTATTACTACTATTATCATCATCATCATTATCGCGCGGCCAAGGTCTAGCGTGACATCAAGTACTCGTCGATGCCCCCGCCGCGCTTTCCCGAAGTACCGCTCAAAAACGCGTTATTTAAATCCCCGTTCCCCGGGCGGATTGACAAGACTGATAACGAAGGCGCGAGTAGCCGGGGCGGGGCGGGGTCGCCGCGGTGAAAACGCGGCTCCGCGCGCGACCTCGGTGCGGCGGAGAAGCCAAAAGAAACGGACGAAGGGTGGCTGGCTGGCTGGCTGAATCGGTGTGTGCTGCGCGAGCGAGGGAAAAGCGCGTCGAGCACGCGGAGGACGATGAACTCGCAGCCGCGCGCGCGGCAGCCAGCAGGCAGCTTCCGTCGCCTGGCAACGTTCCCCCCTCCCCTCCCCGCCACTTGACTACCTACCCCACCGCCGCGTGGCCGGGCGCAGCGTCGCTCTCTGCTCGACACACTACGTCGGCGGCCCTGGCGTGTACGTGCGCGCTGGTGGTCGTTTCAGTCCCCCTCCTCCCTCCCCTTCCCACTCTCTTTCTCTCTCTCGCTCTCGCGTCCCCGTCATTGTCGTGGTAGTCACCCTCGTTGATCGTAGTCGTGGCCGCCGTTCGCGCTGATATTGATCGCACGGGATGGTGCTGCGAACGCGGCCGCCATCATCGGCGCCGTCGTCGTCGGCTTGCACGGCTTGCAAGGACGTGCATCGTCGCCGAAAAAAAAAGGAACTAGTCTCTCTCTTTCTCTCGATCCGCGGGACAAGCTGAAATCGATAGCAGGAGGAGACGCGTGGAATAAATGGATCTGTTGTTTGTACGAGAGCGCGCGCTTCTCTCGGCAGGAAGGTCGGGGGACTCGCGGGAGCGAGCGAGGGAGCGCGCGCGCGCCCGCTATCGATTGGATTCGGACCACCGCGCGGCCCTTTAAACGCCTGAGAAATGTATTCGGGGATACAGCACGGTCATCGTCGTCCCGTGCATGTATTATCTATACGCTCGTTAGAGAGAATCCTCTCCGGGAGGAGAATCGCCGGAGTGTATCAGAGATATTCCCCTCTTCCGCTTCTCTTCTCCTCACTTCTGCTCCCCCTTCTCTCTCCCGTCGCAACCACGCTGAGATACATTAGCGAGATACACGCTAACTTGACTTCCCGCTCTCCTTCCCGCCTCCTCTTCCTCCCCCGCAACTTTGAAACTCGATTATCGCGACTCTTCGCGGAGAATGAATACCGAATGCACCACGATGATATAGCGCGAAGAGGAGCAGCAGCGCGACAGATTGCTCTCTCTCTCTCTCTCTCTCTCGGCCCGCGCGCGTCCGATCCCCCTCGTCCTCTAATGGACTAGAAGCGCGCACTGTTTCCACAACGCATTCCAACACGACGGATGTAGCCGAGGAGGAGAGATTCATGTACGTATATACATATACGTGACACGGTGTAACTGGCTACTTATCGCAGCCCACGGCGGCGAAGCCGCGGGAAACGATATACCCTCGAGTGCAACGCGCAATGCGCGATTGGCGACGCGCTTCAAAACGCACAAAAATGAACGCCAATTGGCGGCCGGATTACTCTTTCGACACCGGCGATTGTGTGCTAACAAAATATTGAAAAATTCCTCACTCGGCCTCTGCAGTAACCGCCGGTCGGTTTTAACGAGCAACGTTTGCGAGTGGAAGTTGGAAAAATTGAACGCCATACAGGGGCGCAGCATCGCGCGCGCAGAGCGTATCGCGTTGCCCGGATCAAGTGGATTGCTAGCTCAGCCGCTTAATAGGTAATCCTTTGGATTCACCTCGCCTACTGCTGTATTCAAAATGTTAGACAGCGTACATAAATTAAGCCGAGCTGGTCGTACCCCCGCTGCTGGTTGCGCGCTCATATACCCAGAGAGCTATTTTCCCTTCCCGACACGGCGATTACGCTTATCTTACGATATCTCGGAATAAGAATTTCCAAGTGAAATTGTGTTAGCGTGTTCCAGTTGTTTAAAATGCGAGAGTAAGTCCGATGGTTCAGAAATGCCTTCGGTGAAATTTAGTCGACCACCATCTTTGAAACGATACAGTCCGAGAGAGCTAAGCTCTCTATCTCTCTCAGCTACGTTCGGAATTAAATAAACGAGCGCAATGACTTCGAGGGGATAAATCGGACATTTTGATATCGGCACTCTTCGACGAACGAATTTCAGACACTCGATGGTCTCGGCTCGCGATGGGCTTTTCCATCGGCTATCGGTAATGAAATCGTCCACCGAAATAGAAAAGATGTGATCTCGAATTGCAACGTCAAATACGCGCGGCACGCGATCAATAGACACCCGACTATGCGAAGCGCATTTATGTCTCTCTGGCGGTAATCGGTCAAATTGGGAGAAACACGACGCCTCGCATTCATGAACGGTGAATTATCTCGACATTTAACCCGTTGTTTCTTCGAGCGTGACACCATAAAGTCGCACAATGGGGCTCGTTCATGTCGCGTAAACTATCTTACGAAACGCGATAAGCGCGCGTCGATATCCTTCCGTACAATAAATAGCTCTTGAATAGCACGTCTCGAAGCCAAGAGGAGGCTCGAGTCTCGACGTCGTCGTAATTTTCAAAGACAGAACTTCACCACGTATACAAGAAATTCGTATCGTTCTCTTTGCGTTTTTGTTCGCGAAACGAACCGAGCGTATTGGAGCATCTTTTTTCTTTGCGGGAGAGCACAAGTGCGCACAGGACGCGAATGAAATTCTACAATCGATTTCACTCGACGCACGAGCCGTCTCGAGAGACAACGTTAAGAATACCCGGAAGAGACTTTCAGGAAGGTTGTGCCTCGTGCGATTTCACGTCTCCTCCTCTCTTAGGCGTGCCCAATTAGAGCTCGGGCAGATAGGAATCTTAAAAGCTCCGTGAATCACCGCGCGCATTAACGCCGATGGTACAAACGGTCTTATCTCTCCTCTATTATGGCACGATTGACAACGTCGTCGCAGCGAGCGACTGC